TCTTTAATTTATTTAGGCTATGGCTTGTGGATAGATTTGCTATAAAAAGAGTGCATCCGACACAAATGCTAGGAATTGGATGTTAAAATTATGTTTTTGTTGGATTTGTGTCTCCCTCATCCACTTATGTTTTGGACTTGTTATTTTTGGGGACACTTTGCTTGTTATTTTTTTTTTTAGCTTCGTAAAATCATGCTTAAACTGTAATTGCTTGGAAGTTTCTAAGCTACTCTATTTTGTGAAGTCCTATTTCTATCTTATGGGATGCCCGATTGGCCAAGTAAGCCGATAAACCAACGAAATACTTTATAACAATGAAACCAAAAAAAGGTTGTTAAACTAAAGCCATTGAAGTGATTCAACATCCTTCGTTCATATCTTTTTTCCTTCTTTCAATTGCAATCTATGAGTTCCTTACAAACTCTTTACGTGTAGCGAGATAACATGCTCGGGATGCTACTCGGAACTAGTTTTACTTGCCAACTCAAAAATGGTTAGTTTTTTGGTCAATGATTACTTAAATTAGTAGTTGGTATAAACGATAATATATATTCTTCGTTGTTTTGGTTGTGTTTAACGTTTTTCTTTGATGTGCAATATTTTAAGCATGATTAGAATTTGATGCCTACGTCGTTGAATCCTACTCAAGTATCATATATTTTTAATTAAATAATTAACATGTTTCTTGATCTTAAAATATTTTTAATGAGTTTTTATCTCGTATATATATATATATATATATATATATTTTACTTTCAAATTGTGCTTTTGATAGGTTCCCAATGATTGTAATGGTCAAAATGCCCATTCTCCTAATCGCTCATCACAATCAAGTCCTCTGTCGAAATGAAACATTTTCGGAAAAACGTGATTTTTTTTTTATAAACGTTACCCACTTATTTTAAACTATATTTGGAAAATTTTTTTATGTATTTCGAACAAGTGTTTAATCCTTTATTATTATTATTTTTTACTTATGAATGTTTAACGACTTTTTATGTATTTGGAATTTGATAATTACAAATTTAAGAATATTGTGTAAATTATATAATATTTCTTTTAAGCTATATAATTTTTCTTTTTTTTCATTTATTTATTTATTTGAAAAAATAAAAAAAATTGAATTCGAATGATGAATTATAAAATCTGTATAAATTTAGAACAAAACTCATTCATTCCACACGTAAATGCGGAACATAGAGGCGATTACAACCGCCTCTACAAATTATGAATTTTATAATTTGGGGCGAGTTTTGAATTTGTAACTTTTGAAACGTAAAAATTATGCGTCAAAAAACTTTGATAATAATATTGGTACCGTAGAGGCGAGTTTGGATCGCCTAAAAAAAAAAAAAATTTGAGACGGTTTGCACCATCCCAAACAACCGCCTCGGAATTCCCCCGCGATTGCTAAAACCGCCCCTACACCGTAGAGACGACGGCATTGCGGGCGATCTTGGGGCGGTCCTCGAAACCACCTCTAGAAGCCAAAAGAACCGCATGCAATGCCCTTTTTTGGTATAGTGCTATGAGGTCATTACAAAATACACTACACTCCTAGTCACAAACCCTAAAAACAACAACCCCTCGAATCCCTTAGGTTATCGATTTTGGCTCGATCATTAAGAATTAGTCGATTTTATCTTTATCTCAAGATCGCTAACCTTGATCTCTTCACCATCGCCAATGGTCCTATCGGAGATTGCTATATCTTCGGCAACCTTGCTAGAGAACCTTGTCTAATCCGAAACTTTTTCCCTAAATTCCAAGGCGAAGATCTCTTCTTCTTCACTCACCTCACCAAGTAACGAAAAAACTTTGTACGCAAAATCAACCGAGGCCCAAGAACCTAGCACCAAGAGTACAAATACCCTCTTTTCAATGTCTCCATCGACAACAACTGCAAAGTCAAAACAAAGACCTTAGAGAGAAAATTCTCTTTGCAAAAACCTTTCCACTTTCATCCCTTACCACCCAAACACTGCGGGCAAAAGCTGCGTCCACGAGAATCAACCGTAGCTCGGGAACCTAGCACCAAAGAGTACAAAGGCCTTGTGCTTTCTGCAAGAAAAAACTTTGGTATTCAAATTGAAAAATTAAAAATTGAGTATAAGTGTATGTTTAACCAAAAATTCAAAATAATATAGAACAAATTAGCCACAAAATATTTTCAAGGTATGATGTGTCCTTTTAAGTATCCTAAGTAATATTTTACTTTAATAATTATGAATTTGTTTGAGAAATTTTAGAAATATACTAGTTGGTTACTCTTGATATCCTATAAGTCGAATAAAACATATAAAATCATTTTTAAAAATAATTTTAATTTGACAACTTGTACTATATTACAAGTCTGTTAAAATATATTGAATTAAATGTAAAAAAAATTAAATTTATAATTCATTCTTCCTTGTGTTTTTTTTTTTATAAATTTTGTAGTTAAAAAACATGATTTTTTATTTTTTATGTATTGATTTTTAAATAAGAACTTGCAATAATCTAAATAGAATATTTAATTCAAAATTTAAGAAAAAAAGTATCATAATATATTTTCATAAAATTTTATCAAAAAAATAAAACAATAATTAATATATTAACAAATGAATATTGTTTTTCATACTTATTTAATTCGATGAGAAGATTATTTTTTAGAAAAAAATATACATTTGATTTGTATATATTTATTCATAAAATAATAAATAATATTAGAATAAAAACTTGTATTTGAATCATTGGATGGTTCTCTAAAAACATTATTTCAATTATTATTTTCTCAAAAAAATTGATTTTAGAATGCTAAAAAACTTAATAACAAATGGTCGTGTCATGTGTGTTGATACATAGTTAATTTCTACTAAAATCAATTATCTTAGTTTTTTTTAATAAGCCTCATTGATTCAAATAATATATATTTTCATTCATAAAATAATAAATAATATATTTTCATTGACAATATTCGGTGCGTTCGAGTGTGTAGCATAAATAAAAAATATTTTAAAAAAACAAATAAATTATAAGAAATATATCAAAATTAATATACTGAAATAAAAAAAGCTACCAAATTAATTTTGATAATTTTTAATTATATAAAGAACAAGCAAATAAAAAACATGAATTTAATTTTTTTAATTAATATTTTTATAAAGTTTGAGACAAATTATCTAAAATATTCTTTTATTTTTTTTAACACTCTCATTTAAAAATCATAAGAAACTATCATATGAATTATAGCAATATATAAAAAAGATTAAATAATGATATTGAAAAATCTTGTTCAAAATTCCATACATAGAGAAAAGTAAATCATTTTTATTAAAAAATAAAATTATGTAAAAAACTTATAATTAATGTCATGAGAATTTCTATAAGAAATAATAAATAAAAAGTCAATTTTAAACAATAATATATATATATATGTTAATTAAAATAGATAAAATTATTCTAAAATTTTATTAAAAAATCCATACATGAAGAAAAATAAATCATATTTATTAACAAATAAATTATATAAAAAATTAATTTTATGATCATTTTCATAAGAAATGCAAAATAAAAAAAATAATTTTAAACAATAAGAATATTATAATCCAATATATATGTTCATTCTAAATTCTGAAAACATATCATATATATTTTATTACTATCAACTTGTGTGGAAAATAAAAAATAATAATAATTGATTATTTATATTTTTGCATCAAATTCAATAATAAAAAATTGTAATAATAATAATAATAATAATGAATCAAAAAAATTAAAAAGCACACCCACACACACATCAAATCGAAAAATTCAATTTTTTTTTTAAATTTTGATCTATCTCTTTTAATTACTTTATGGTCTAACACAACCATGAATTCACTTTTACTACTAAGATAAACAATATGAATGCAAAACTAGTTACAAAAAAGGCTGAAATTAGAGTAGATCATGGCTTTCTCGCTCTTCTCTTTGTATTTAGAGACAAAATTACGATATTAATGAACTTGAAGATCAAAATAATTTTTTAAAAAATATTAGAGATCAAAGTGCAAATAAAAAAAACCAAGATATAAATGCTCTACTATAACAAAAAATCACAATGCACATGAATCTAAATATGATTTTTATAAGTGTGTAAATAATATAGTGAATAGTAAATAATTTTAAGGGTTTTTTTTTTCAATAATGAAAGGGATAATGCGATTTTGAGTGTCTAAAATTATATGATTTTTATAATTAAGTGTTTGATTTTTAATTTAGTCCACTAAGTATCTGAATTTTTTATTTTACACATTAAAGTACTTTATGTGTTGGACAAATACTGCTGTATTCATTAAGTGATGACATGATCCTGATATTTAATGTTATATTTAAAACTGAGTCATTAAGTAGATGTTATTTTGGCAAGTAAATAGGCTATTTTTAGTTTAAGAGAACAAACCGGTAAATTGACTAGAAAAAGAAACAAGATTATTTTTCATTTACTTTAATAGAGGAAAAAATTAAAGTTTGTAAAGAAAAATGAGAGTTTCTATATATATATATATAATTTTAATCAAGTTTTTAAGAGAATGTTCATTCTTATTTATTTACTGATAAGACATTTCTATAATGAAATCAGTTTTAATTATTATCTTTAATCATGACTTGACGAATGCATCAAAATGTGACTGATATACATCCGCTAGATATTCTATGGTGAAAAGAAAAATTCAGATTCTTATTAAATCAAAATAAATATCAGACATTCAATTATAAAAATCGTACAAACTCAAACACTTAACGTAACTTTATTCTACAGTGAAATATCGGATTAAGTAATATCCGATATGGACTTGAAATAGAAACACCGGCATTCCCACCCGTTCTTCGTCGGATCCAACAAAAGTTAAGTAGTTTTGTCTGCACAGACCATGTTCAACAGATTCCTCATACAACAACTCGTTTTTTCCCAATATATTTAATCTTAAATCACCCAATAATCGAAAACCTCCCCTTTCTCCTTTTCAAGTCTCATAATGTCAGACTCAAAATGGCAATGGGAAAACGCCACCGCTGGCGCCGTTGCAGGCTTCGCCACGGTCGCCGCCATGCACCCTCTTGATGTCGTACGTACTAGATTTCAAGGTAGCCTGCTCTTCCTTCAAGTAATCAATTTTTTTTTCATTGGCTTAGACATTTGAATGATACTGATAATACTAAAAAAACAATGTGTTTAATAGTTAACGATGGTCGCGTCGTCAATCTCCCAACTTACAAGAACACTGCGCATGCTCTTTTAACCATTGCTCGCTTAGAGGTAGTTACCTACTCTATTGGGTGTCTGTTCTGTTTCTGTTTTTCTTTTTGCATTTTATTTTTTAAAAAAGTTTTTATTGTTTGGTTCACTTCTGGATTGATTTTGTGTGTTGAAATGCGTAATTGGGGGATACTATTTGTTGCGGTGGAAGAAAAATAGCTACTTGATTTTAAAGTTGTTGTTATTTGGAAAGAATTTGGGATAGGCAATTAAACTGCTTAATTGTGTATAACGTATGACTATATGTTATTTGAGATATGAAATGGGTGTAAAATTTGGAGAAGTTAAAGTCTCTTGGAATTAAGATTCAATTTTGAAGGAACCCATTTTAATTTCGAAGGTCTTTATGGGACTTCGATAAATAGAAATGAACAGATTGTGATTAAGTTTGGGAAACAAAATTTTAAGGTGCTTGCTATTTGATGCCTTATTGTGTGATACTATTTGATGCCTTATTGTGTGATAGAATGTTTGCTAACAGAGAGAAAATTCTGGTTTTCTGATGGCAGGGATTAAAAGGGCTTTATGCAGGCTTCTTTCCAGCAGTTCTTGGTTCTTCTGTTTCCTGGGGTTTATATTTTTTCTTGTAAGCGTTAATTTTGAGACCTTTTGACTGTGTTAGTATGTATTTTGCCCTACCTTTTACTAACTGATACCAGATAGTAATTTATACAGTTTTTGCCTTGGCATGCCATTTCTAACATCAAAAGGATTTCATCTCGCCAGAATATTGTTTGCTTTCTTCTTGCATTTGAATTTTTTAGATATTATAAATCTTTCATAAAAAGACTTCTTAGTAATACTTATCTGCTTCTCAGACAGGGCATTATTGGCAAAACCTGAAGGTTCTTCCATCATGATGTATTTATTCACTTTGTCTTTTAATTTTTGTTTATAGGTTGATTTTGTTTTCTTTTAGCCAATTGGTTTGTGTTATCATATAGATCACTTATTTTCTCTTTCTATTTGTAGCTATAGTACAGCCAAACAAAGGTATTCTAAAAACAGGGACGAGAAGCTGAGCCCTGGTCTTCACCTTGCATCTGCTGCAGAAGCTGGAGCTTTGGTGAGTATTTGAATCTTCAGTGATGATTTTGAAGAAATTCTAACAGTTGATGCTCTATTTATATGAAACATGTATCAATATAAAGATTTTGCAAGCTAGAATTTAGTTTTTAAACATAGGGAGAAAAGTACATACGGAACTCCCAATGCTCGCATATAAGTAATAAGAAACATATAATTTAAGCAGAAATGTGCCTGAGACAATGAAACTAAAGGCTAGTGGTAACTGGTAAATTACTCAGAATTTGTTTGAAAAGTCATCAACAAATACGTAGTGATAAGAAGTGACAATTAGCATCAATAGCATGTCAAAATAGGTGCTCTGGAACAACTTCTTAATTGAAGTTTTGAGACTTTACTGGATTTAGTCTATTTAGGAGGTTGATTTGTCAAGAGATTCTCTTTGATGGAACTTGGCTTCTTGTTTCTAATTGCTTTAGTGAAGATAGACTGGTTCATTTCTTTGTTGAACAAGAGTCTTGGATATTGATAATTGCCACCTTTTCCTTTCTCAGGTTTGCTTTTGTACAAATCCTATCTGGCTTGTAAAGACAAGATTGCAGCTTCAGAATCCTCTTCATCAAACTCGGCCTTATTCTGGGCTTTATGGTCTACTCTGCATCTTTCATTAGCTTGCTATTAATGTGCTCTCTGAGATATGCTTTTCCTAATGAGTCTACTTTGACTCCTACACTAGTAGTTTGGTTAAGTTTCATAACTATTTTATTTCATGACATGATCATTAACCATTGGCTTATAGGCCCTTATAATTTAGATACTAGCCTTTCTTTACAATTGGTTTTTGATAATGTTTGCTCGTAACATTGTGCGGTTAAACCTATTTGTCCTGTCCTTAGACCTATTATCAGGTCTATAGTTGATATCTTCATACAATTCACCATCCAGGAGCTATGCTTTTGTATTCTCTTAGATGATTATTTTTTTTAAAGAATATTCCTCTCTCCTTGACTATGCAAGAAGCTACTAAGTATTGTTGGTAATGCTGTTAGACAGCTTCCTTTTTTATGCTTGTGTTTTGGTACTCCATCATGTTTATTTCTGACCATATATGCTATTTTGTTGCACATTTCATTAAATTCCAGATGCCGTGAAAACGATTATGAGAGAGGAAGGATGGAGAGCACTGTATAAAGGAATTGTTCCTGGTCTTTTTCTGGTAGTTACTGGATGTTTCTTCATTCCATGCTTTTCACTTTTTGTGTCATATTGTAATACAAATAATGATCTTTTCTATCAGATTGCCAATTAGGTGTATGGTTCAGGTGTACAGGTTTTGTTAAATGAATTGATTTTTTTTCCCATATATGGTCATTAAAATTTGATGCTTTTCTCTGTTATTCTGTTGAAGCAATGACAATGTTGCTTTATGGTGGAACCTCTGATATTTATCAAATGCAACTGAATATACCATTCTGTTGATAGCTGTGATGTAGTTAAGTTGCATTATTCATAACACCTGCTGTATATAGCTGTCGAACAGCCTATCATCCATATTTATGAGTTATCATGTCATTTAAAAATTACCTTAAGCTAATTTCTGAGGCAATCTCAGGCAATTTAACTGATTCCAATGAGTTGGGAGTGAGACTTTCTTGAGTTAAGTAATAATGCATGTGAAAATTCTTATATTTATGTAACATAAGGTAAAAAACCTGTGTGAACTCGTTAATAATCTAATATGTTGATACAAACGGGGAAGGATGTCTCTCAGCCTGCTGAAATAAAAGGACGTCTTTCAGCTTGTCTGGTGGTTAACAGTTGATGTTATAGTTTTGAGGTCAGAAATGATCTCTGAGACATAATTACTTACTGAGGAATTTACATGCATGTGCACATGATATCTCTGTTTCAGCTATATGAAAATAATATTGTAGTTTCCTTATTCTTCATTGTCATGATTAGGTGTTTGTTTTACTTCAGCAGGTTTCTCATGGTGCTGTCCAGTTCACAACTTACGAGGAACTTCGTAAAGTTATTGTTGACTATAAAGCCAAACAAAGAAAAGAAGATTGTAAAAGTGCCGATGCTGATCTGTTGGTATGTATTAGAGTTAATGTTAATTTTAATTTTGGTAGCAAAACTAAAAGAGGAAAAGAAAAGAGCTGAGAAGGGGGGGTCATCCATACTCCATCATTACTTTCCTCACATTGTTTATACAGGATCCACTCTTTTGCAACTTTCAATTGTAAAAATATTCTTACCTTTGATTTTTTTTTTCTCTTTGAAGAAATAAGTGCATAAGGTTGAAGAAGTTCATCTTTTTGATCTGTCAATTCATGTTATATGTTTTATGTGTCAATGCTAAGTCCACTTTTTGGAAAGGATTTGTAATAATATCAAAGCTTTACACTGTCTGGATAAGTTAAGAAAGACACATACATAACTATAGCAACTTTAGTGGTGTTGCTTACACTTGTTGTTTTCCTCTTCTGTCCCATTTCTGCAAACACAAGGCTGTCCAATGTAGGCATTGAACTTCACCTCTCATTGCAGTTCTGATTTTCCCTATTGAACAAATTCTAACATTCTCTTTTTGCACAGAATTCAGTTGATTACGCTATCCTTGGGGGTTCTTCTAAAATTGCTGCCATTATTCTGACATATCCATTTCAGGTAGCCATTCTTGTAAGTGATGTGAAGTTTATACATGGCTGTTAATCTGTTGGTCGATCATTGCATCTGACACGGTTGGGGTACTATTTTTTCAGGTTATTCGGTCCCGACTACAGGTATACCTATTGTTACAATATCCCATGGTGTTTACATATAAGATTTCCAAACTATTACAGTTTCCTAAATCCTTACAAGAAAGAGACAATGCTGTCACAAGCCTTATGGCCCAGGGACAAAACTTTCCCCACATCTGGAGGAGCAAACTAAATTGTTCGTTGGGTTGCAGCATAGCTTGGTAGTCTTTCTCCATTTATAACTGCAGTTGTTGTTGTCTCTCTTGTGCAGCAACGGCCTAGTATGGAAGGAACTCCAAGATATATGGATAGTTGGCATGTCATGAAGGAAACTGCACGGTGATAACAACCATTTCTTTTCCCTCTTGGCTACTTTTTAAACCTTAATCTTGCCCCATCATTTTGTGGCTTAGACTCATAACCTCTTCCCCTTGTACTAAAGGGAGAATAATACCCTTGGCTCAGTTGGAATTAATTTAGTCAGAGCTTTTCCATCTTACCACTAACAGAGGAAAGCTGACTGTTTTAAGAAAAATAGCTTTCTTAAGTGTTATGCTTGATGCCCTGCAAGTTCGACAACAAATAGAGATCTGCACCGAGCATATTATCTATCCGTGGAATGACATTTTCATGTCTGAAAGAGTAACCAGTGAATATATCCATTTATGGGGTGAACCAAGGATCATTTCAAATACTACAATCTGATTCGGTTTTTAAACGCTAGAAGAGACTGAACTTTTATCACTTTACGAACGCATCACTGCTAAAGGACAACCTTGCTGTTGCATTGATTCAGATGTTACTTTCATCATAAATGTCTATTTTACTCTCATCTACTCGTTTATTTCTAATAATTTAATTTTTTTTTTTTTTTTTGGGGGCTTGTAGGTTTGAAGGTTTCCGAGGCTTTTACAAGGGCATAACACCAAACCTTTTGAAAAACGTTCCTGCTTCTTCAATAACATTTATTGTATATGAAAACGTCCTGAAGTTGCTCAAATTGGGAAGAACAAGCGACTGAGATTTGTCTTTTTTGTATTTCCTTCAGTTTTAGAGTTTAGTAGTATTTTTGACAAAGCCGTCAAAGAAAAAATCGGCACTAATGACATTATAATGAGCTGCTACGAAAAAGAAAGGGGAAAATATTCTCGAAGTTTGAAGAACTGTTTCCCCATTCTTTCCGAAGCACTTAATTATAATGTGACCAACCATAAATGATCTGGATGTGTGGAGGAGAAGTTTCAAGTTTGAGCTTGGCTTCCGAAGTGAAAGCTACAAAGGAGAGTAAGGAGTGATCATTTTGTGCGAATGAATTGTAGCATCAAAAATATTTATTGGCAAGCTTAGTGTATAACGATGGGCGATCTTTAGTGGGTGAAACAGAAAGTAGTTCGAAAATTTCTCATGTTTGAGAATGTTGAAGGACTTGTAGCCGAAGTACTAAAGATTATAAAAAATCATATGGAGGGTTAATTTGTTGATGCTTGGTGATAAAGCAAGAGTTTCTCTCTTGCAATTATTATTATTATTATTTTGATAAGCTGAGGTATAATTATCATTAATTATGAAATGGAGCAAAGCCCCCAAATACAATAAAACACCCAGTGTGGGCGAAAACAAATAAAGAGAGTAGTGGGTGTTGTACCCAAAATTTGATTAGGGCTAGCAGCCCAACAAATTAAGTAGGGCTCAGAAAATTTTTGATCAAAAACTCATATGTATGGCTCTTAAGAGCAACTGGTGCAAGGCCTAGTTCAGGAAAATAGGTACATCTTAAAGAAAAAGGCCCAAAGGAGCAAGAAAATGTGAGAAGTCAAATCTTGTTTAAAAGGAGAGACTAAGGAGAAGATAATTAATTTGAACGACAAGGATCAGAAATAAGGACGAGATAATGTTGCAATGAATGAATGAAAACATTAGAAAATGTGGAGCATTGTAGTTCAAGACAAATACCAATGAATTGGTGTGCTTTTCTCTAGTTTGGTCTTCGAACTTTTGATTTAGGTATTCAAACCCTTGCATTTTAAATTTATTTTGAGTTAATTTCATCCAAGTTTTGTGTGATGCGTGATTATTTCGTTAATTCATATTCTAATGATATTGGTTAATTAATTAACATAATATCTGGATGATTATTAAATTAAAATATCTTTATTAAAAGGGTTTAATCGAAAAGATTAGAATCGAAATATTTTGTGATTTTTGATAGATTTAAAAACGATCTAAATTCAAGTTCTTTGATGTTTGTATGCTTTAAAATTTTAATTGATTGGAGGAGGAATCTGTATTTTTTTTAAGTTTTGATGTATAGTTATCTTTAATTTAATTTTTTTTGTCGTTATTTTTTTAATAGAAAACATAGTTAAGGGTTTGACGTACTATATAATATTTTATTTGTTATATAAAAAATCTATAAGGAACTGTTGATCGATGATGAAGCTATTAATAAGCTAGCAATTTTTTTTTTAGAAAATTAAAATAAGCCAATATAAATTAATAGGCCATATACCTTATCCGGGTCTATTGGCTATTTTTATTTTCTATAGAATTGTCTTTACATGATTTGTGATCTTTACATATTTAATTTTATTATGTCTTGTATTTGTATGTTTATTTTATATGATGTCAGTCTAAAATAATTTATATGGAGTAGGTTTGGACCCGAGACCAAGTTTATTCTAATGATGAGGCTTTTTATTTATTCATTTATTTATTATTATTATTATGATATTCTTCTTATTAATTATTTTATTTTTCAATACTACTGATTTTTTCTTTTAGTAAAGTTAGTTTTGAACTTGATGTTAGGCCTTAGACATAATATTATTATTATTATTAAAAAAATAGCATGGTATGTAGATACGGAGCTCAACGGCTATGTCTATATTTTTATATTATTTTATCTTGACCTTGTAATTTTATTACATGGTTTGGCGATCAAACTTGCCTCGTTGGTCTAAATTTATTTTATTTTGTATTTCATTTTTTTATGGATGTTTGGGTTGTTTAATTTACAATGAGCTTTAAGCCTTGATTTTTACCTTTTTATGTGAGATTCAACAATCTAATAACAACATAAGTGAGAGAATGAGCTTTCTTTCAATCTCCAAATTATCTTATTACAATTAATTAGAAAAGGCTCAAGTAATTGAATTCATAAATCATGACGAGAAAAATACACATATAAATAGATTCGCATAAATAAATTATCATAAGCTAGAAAACCAAGATGCCTCATTATAAAAGCACACTAAGGAGATCGCAATCTTCTCTAATTGTGTAATCAACTCCTTTACTCAAAACTTTTAGAATTAGTATTAGATTTTCTTAGTTTTTATTTTTTAAAAACTAAGTAACAACTCTATACATTTTAAAGATATACTTATTTTATCGATCGTCAAAAGGTCATCGTATGACACCAATACTAGCCTTAATGCAGGGGTTGGAGTGCTCTTTCAGTCCCCACATGGATCAATCACTAAGATGACCTTCTAATTGTAGGAAATATATACTAACAATAGAGAAGAATACAGGGCACTAATAATATGCCTTGAAAATCTTGTTAACTATGGAGGTAAAGAATGTAGAGGTAATAGGTGATCCCAAGTTAGTTGTCAACCAGCTAAATAAAAAATACAATTGCCAAAATTTGAGTTTAAAAGAATATTCAAGAAGGCAAAACACCTACAATCTAAGTTCGATAATATCTCGATTAGACATGTCCAAAGAGAGAGCAATCAGGTTACCAATGATTTGGCACAATTAACTTCTAGATACAAGTGTTCAATGTTATTATTCAAAAAAGTAGCATGTGTGTTGAAAAATCCTCTCCCAATGAGTCATGAGAGGAACTTGCTTCCAAAAATCAATTTATTGGAGGCTTTAAGAGAGGATGATGAGGGCACCCAATAAAGCAATATCTATAGAGCACCCAATAGCTTTCTAGAGATAAACTCTGAAGCTAAAAGTCATAAACCGCACCATAGTTGATATCAACTATGTAGAAGGGATAAGTCTAAATACCTAATAAAATGCATAGAAATTGAGAAAGCCAAGGTAGTGATGGCTGAAGTCTATTTAGGAATATATGAATCACATCTTGCAGCAACCAAGATGGTTGGAGTCATCGAAAGAAGAGGCTTTCTTTACCCAAAAATGAAGATTTTGAAGCACTTGCAAAAGGTTTAAACCTTGCCAAAAACATGAGAATTTACCTAGGGCTTTTGCTACAGAGTTACACTATAATTAAACCATGGCTCTTCAAGGATTGGACAATGGACGTCGTTGGAGAGATATACCCCCATTCTAGTAAGCAACATGCTTACATCCTAGTGACAACATACTACTTTACAAAATAGGTTGAAACAAAGTCTTTTACATCGTTAACACAAGTTAGAGTAATTCAATTCATTAAAAAAAAAAAAAAAAATCATTGCAAGGTTTGGTATACCAGAGTTGATTATTATGGATCAAGCCACTGTGTTTAACAGAAGGGAGAGAGTGAAGTTTGTCGATGATATGGGGTTCATAATTATAAATTCATCTTCATATTACGCTAAATCAATTCCACAAATAAGATTCTTAAATTGAATCTGCAAAAGAAAAGATGATCAATAATAATCCAAGGGATTGGCGGGAATTACTGGTAGAAGTTTTGTGGGCCTATAGAACTACACCTATAGGAGGCAACTAGTGCTAATCCTTGTCTTAACATACAGGCACCATATTGTGCTATCATGTGAAACTGTTAAAAGATCACAAAAGTTCACATGTCAAAATCAATTCATAGGAGTACGGTACCACGAAGCAATGATGAAAAAGTTAAATGACAGAAAATTGTAGGTTGGAAAACGTCTGTCTACTCCAGAGTCTTTTTGCGAAATTATATAGAACAGAAATCAATGGCAAATACTAAAAGGAAGTATGTGCCATCAATTTAAGAGACAAATAAAGAGATACTCAACGCAAGTACAAAAATCTCCAGTATAGTTTGAGTCTCAATCCCAAATAGTGGATTGAAAATAAAATGACACAGGTAAATAAATAAGACTAAATTAAATAATAATAATGGGTAGTTGTTGTATTGATTTACAGAAATGGATCTTCATCAAAGCCAATGCAGAGTCTAAAAAGGAAATCAATCCAGTTTTATAAAGAGATGAAACAGAAGCCTTCACTTGAGCCCTTAGAGCTCCAGAATCTTATTGGAATTGACCAAGAACAGTTTCTCTTTAATCATCGTTTTTATAGATTTTAACTTCTCACGAAGAGTTGCAGGCTTGCAGCTTCTTCTTTGAGTCTCTTCACCTCCCATTCCAATTGCAAGCATTGACCAGAACGAGATCCTGGTGTGTTGGGGGGGGGGGGGGGGGGGGGGTGGAGGGAGCTGCACATCTAAGTCCATTGCAGCAGGATTGGGGGCTTCCTTGGAGAATGCTTTATCCAACAGGAAAAACCCACAAGGAAGAAGCAAGTTATCCGTAATTATCAGAGTCTGACTCTGCAGTAGTTGTAATCTCGACCCTACTTAGAACATCTACGCCAGGATCGTCTTCTAGGACTTCATGATCAATCTCTGCAGTCTCAACTGGAATGTAATCAACATATAGGTCCCCACTCATTCCTCTAGAATTAATCATTGTAGAGTCCTCGCGAGCAGTCTCTCCACTCACAAGAGTGACAAGGATAAGAGCCAACGATCTCTTCTTCTTCGTCCTGATAGCCAATGGAACAAGAAGATGGTCTGAAAACGCTTTGCCTCCTTGAGTAAAATCTCCAGAAGGTATGTTAGCATCTTGGACATTTTTCAAGGTCAATACATACTCCTGATGAGGGTCTACTACATGTCACCACTTAAAAGTGTCACAGATATGAGATGAAGGGAGACACAAATGAAGAAAGACAAGGTAAAAAAAACGAAAGGAGAACTACCTTAAAAAGGAAAGGTAGAGGTCAGGAATACACTGTAAAGAAACAGGATCATTGATGGAAGACAAGTGGAGGAGGATTGAGTGCTGGGATGCATTCTGTAGTGAGATCAAGGATTTCTGTTATCCTCACCTTTTGCCATTTGGCCCAAATACAAGCTTGATTCTTCGAGCAAGCATGCACAGGTAGATTTCAGGTTGCCCAATGGGTCATGCCCTTGAAGGACGCTATGAATAACTAGAAAAATCATCCCACTTGATACCACGAGCAACAAGAGGGCGATAAAGTTTCAAAGCCTTCTCATCTGGAACTAGCTGCCGTAAGAGAGTCTTGGCTCGTTGTAAGACAACTTTTTGGCCATAACCACGAAAAAGAGAAGGACCAAGAATGTAGGTTTGAGAATTGACAGGGGAACTTGATTCAACTGTCGAAGAAGTTTCGTCACAAGGAGAAATGAAAAATGGTTGTATTATAGAAAGACAATAAGACAGAACCAATTTGCAGAGATTGTCAAACTGCAAAGCAACAACAGAGATGGATTGTGAGGAGTTTTGGGTCCTCTTTTTGGAAGAAGAAGTTTTGAAAGGTTTGCTGAGAGCCGTCGAATCGGAGCGTAGAAAATGTACGGACGAATTCACCGAGAGAAGAAACAACACTAGAATTTGGGAAAACAGAGAAAGAAAGAAGAAAAACAAAGGAGAATGACAGTTAACAACAAAAGAGAGACAAATTTTAAGGCTGCAATGGTGTGTCTATATTGCAATTTAATTGGGTAGGAACAATAAAGTTGAAATGCAACAGCCAGATTCCAAAAAAACAAATCTTTTATAATAAATTTGGGAGAAGCAAGATCAGAAAACATAGTTAACACCATAATATAGACTTCTTTTTTTTTTTCAGACTCAAACTAATAGATACACAAGATAGACATAATTATCCAAAAAGTACAATTACAAGTAATCGTTCTCTAAATGCATGTTAAGGAAGTGTTTATGCCTTCTTTATACACAAACAATCTCCCTTTTATATACACTAAAATCTATTGAGTTAAATAAACTTGGAATTTATAAAGTTCATGGAATTAATTAGCTTGTGTGTGCATCCATGGCGTAAGAAAAGGAGTAATCATTCACGTAGAGATAGACAGAGGTTCACCATTCTCACATCTACGGAAGGACTCAACATGCATTTCCACGTTAAAGCCTTTTTTGGTAGATTAGTAAGATTTGCTACTAGTTGAGGTCGGCATCTCAACTTAAATTTTCATGATTTCTTAAAGCAAGAAACCAGATTTATTGTCAAAAAAACTGGGGGTAACTACTTTCACATTTGAGTTTATTAAAATCCATAGTTCATCTTATTCTAATACAATCTGTCTTGGGCATGACATAAGATTAGTAATCCACAGAAAGCTTTTGAAGGAAGGTAAGAATCTCTTGAGAGACTTCATGAGCTCTCTCTTGTTGGATAAAATGGTGGCCGTCCAAAATAACAACTTCAAGGTCAGGCACAAAACTCTTGAAGATGTCTCCTTGCACATAGTCCCTGGTACCATAAGCGTCAAAACCAATGTCTGTGTCACCAAGTATGCACTTTGTAGGAACAGTAATCTTTGCTCCTTGCCATGGTGCAGAAAGCTCCCAGTTCCTGTTGGCATGTTAAAAAAAACCACAGGTGACAAGCTGCATTTTTCCAGGCAACACTCCATTTTCTTGGATGTTAAAAATATTAAATTAAATTTATTAGGCTTCAGATTATATAACTTAACAGATAACAGATTATGGACTCATCAGACCTTCAAACCAAGTAGGCCAATCATGAAGGATAAAATGGTGAGAGTATCTGCACTTACAGGTCCATAGCGCGGTAGTAGTTGAGAGAACCAGTGAAGCCAGATTCTTCAAACTTGTCTGCATAGACCTGCAGTTCCTCTTCAGTAATCCATGGAGGCAACACTGCTGGTGTTTGCAAGTAATCGATGATCTCCATGCCCGAAGGAGCTATCAATGGATCACTCTTGTTTATCAGCAAAAACTTCTTCATTACTGTCAAGTAATCATATCTTGCAAAAGCCCTCTCCGCTCTTCCTGGTTCCTATCCCCCATAGAACCAGTACTTTCAGTCCAGAGACTCGAGACATACAAAACAAATGTTGTAAATGAAATTTTCGGTGTAGTTTTAAAAAGGTACCTGGAATTGAGAAATGTAAAACCCATCTCCAAATTTCCCTCTAAAAAATTCAATAACTTTAGCATCAGGATCTCTTGGAAAGTATGGGACAGATATGGCTATTAGTCCCTTGATTCTATCAGGCCTGAACAGGCTTAGATGCCAACCAATAACAGCGCCCACGTCATGTCCAATCACAAAAGCCTTCTCAAACATCAAAACTAAATCAGTCCTAATCTACTCTTAATCAATTCAGAAACACATATTTTCATGCATTAATATTAAAGAAGAGAGTTAGAGAGGACCTGTTGTTCGCCAAAATGGTCAAGAAGGCCTATTAGATCACCAGCAAAATGCAAGACGGTGTAGGTGTTGGGGCTGAGAGGAGAGTCAGAGTCACCGTGGCCTCTCAAGTCAGGAGCAACTACATGGTATCCACGGCTGGCCAAGAAAGCGATCTGGTGACGCCATGAATACCAGAATTCTGGGAACCCATGAAGCAGAAGCACAAGAGGTCCTGACCCTTTCTCTACTACATGCAACCATATACCATTTGTTTTTATCCTTTGGTGATTAACCTCTCCTAAATCCATAGTGGCCCCTCGATTTCGCTCAAACCTCAGAGAGAGAGAGAGAGAGAGAGAGTGATCTTCAATGGATGGACACCGGTCAAGATGATGGTGCTGAATAATTAAATACTGCGAATTGTCATGATTTGCTTGGCAAGGAAGCTGTTGGTATTGGCTAGCAAAATTAAAAATCAAACCTTGACATTGGACTCCTCGATAAGAAAAGCTTGAATAATTTCATCTATCTAACACTGTTACGCGATAATCATGCTCTTGTCCAAGGGGGCTAATGTGGTATACTTCCAGTTCAAACTGTGCTCTGTAAATGGGCCCTAGTCTTCTAGTGTCTTGTTTGTTGGGTTTTCGCACCCAATTGGTTTAGGTCCTTCTTACCATGTACTTTTAACATGTTAAAAAAAAAAAAAAGTGCCTGCCACGTACAAGACTTGTAGCTCAAACTAATCTGTTACAATTGGATCACTCCAATAGTTTCCGTTCACATCAGTTTCAGGTCCAAAAACTACAGAAATAAAGAGAAAATTGGTGGGACAGTGGAAGGCTTTTTTGAAGCCATGTTAGAGTTAGGACCACGCCTGAAAATTGTCCAACCAAACCAAAAACATATCACTTTGAAAAATGTCCACATAAACCATTTTTTTCTAATGCATTAATCCATCAAATGGCGTTGCCAGTGCGTAAACTACCACAACCAAAAGATTTTCTTGTCAAAGCATTGTCATTTGAAACTATGCAATCAACGTGTGGGAGTCAATATCCTGTAGCACTGTGTCAATAGTCGCAAAATACAGTTCAGATATGGCCACCATTGACAAACTCATAATCTGTGATTCTATGAAAACAAAAAAAAATCAACAACAGCGATCCTTCAGTGTAATCTGGCAGTAAAATTTGCTGTAAAGACAACAGGTAAAATTAACATGCATGAGGTAGAAAGCACTGGGAACAGATAAATTATACACAACTGATGAAGAAACATACAGCTATCTACCCAGTATCACTAGTAGTGGCTAATTGCATGGTACACCTTCACGGTGAATAATTTAACATAGTGACAAGTATAGCAAGGAGGAACGACTTGTCCATTATGCTGGCAAACTAAAATCAGAACAAAAGATGTTGGAGAATTGGTTACAGAAATTAAATGGTTTCAACCATGTGCTGAGCAAGGCACAGCACCAATGATCTACTGGCTAGGTAACAAAGAACCAAGTTGGTTCCTCATATATTACTAAAACAAATTGTTCCTCTTCCTTTACACACCCTGACATTTACAGGAGTTAATTAGCATTCAGAAATATTTGGTTTTCAGAATGCTTCTCCCCTAGTTTTCATTTAAAAAAGGTGGCCATCTACCATAATTATTTGGACTAACAAGCAAGAAAATGCTTCAATTGTTACACTTTATCATCGTGGAACCACCACCTGGTCTCCTTCGGAGATCTTCCATTTCTACAGTTCTTTACATACCGGTCATTGTCCTCAGGACGTTGCTGCAAGCAAGATCAACCCCGTTAATCCAACTGTCTTATATATTATTTAAAAACGATGACGAAACAAACCCTCCTGATGGCTATCTTAATTTAATGTCTAATGAATCATAAGATCAATAAACCTAAAGGGCATGCTTATCATTCATCAAAGGTATTGGCAAGTATACCCTTGCCAACCAGCATCCAATAGTAGCACAATGGACACAAATTCCTTATTGTTTAGAAACGGAGGGTTTTAGAAAGCACATAAAATAATGACTATGAAATCAAACCTTCACAGTTGAGCTTGAAAGCATTGAGAGAATACTGATACAGACAGAACTAACAGTCATGGCAGGTGACCAGGAATCATATAGTATATCTGCAAAAGGTAATAGTTAAATGTCAGTCATGCTTCAAGTATTATTAACTGCAGGTTTAGATTGAGGCCATCATGTGAGGTATTCACCATTCCTTTTTGAGATGTGTCCACTTTCCAAATAGCATAAGTAATAGTAATGAATTAATTCTCACATTTATGGGGCAACATAACTACCTTCAATTGGAAATATAACCACTTTCAACAAGACAAAAATTAAAAATTCAACCCAGACAGTAATTAATGATCACTCTTTAAATAGTTGGAAAACCAAAGTTGCGCAGTAACTATGAGACAGAAAGAGCATAACTGAGATAGCAGCCATATAAAAAGTTACTTAAAGCTTCAATCATAACAAATGACTTATGCCCTGTTTACCAGAATAGGAACAGCATAGCACGAGCATCAATACGAGCATGAAACGAACAGAAGGGAAGAGAAAAAAAAAACTGAGAGCACATTCTTATCTAGTGACATCACTGAGGGTCAAAACTTCTAGACAAATGGATTGCATGATGGACATAACTTATATAGCAATAATAATCGCCCAGTCAGTTGGTGTCACTATACTATGTGCCCAGGCTTTTCACCATCCATCATAATATCTATGTCCATTAGCATGAACTATACCCGAATTTGGCTTTCGCAGGTCTCATTAAAAGTAAGGTTCTGAGATTTATCTTACCATGTTTTCTAGCAACTATCAGGGTTTTGCTCTCCACATAATGTAGATCGCGAGAAACTAGAAAATTAAGAGATCTACATGCATGTAATATTGACCGTGTATTGAATGAAAACCTTGTCAAAAGAGAATGAAAATTTCTAAACCAACAACCAAAACATGCCGGCATTTATGGACAAGACCATCACTTTTCAAAAAACAGGAAAAAAAAAAAACAGAAAAATAGATAAGTTCGTGATGTAACAATAGGAAAACATCCAACCAAGTGGGCCAAGATAATTGAACTGGTAAAAAAAATATCCAACTGATCCAAAACTGTAATTGCACAGTAACTTAAAGCCAATATAGAAACTACAATTACCTAAACAAATATGGCCATTGCTATAAATATGCGGATGCAGCGGAGCCGGATGAAGAAAGACAACCTGTTTAGAACAACAATCAACACTGTTTTACATGGAAAAAAACCCAACAAAAACCTATACAGTTAACAATAGACTGATGCAATTGCAAACCTGAGGGGCTTCCATAGGGTAATGCTCTGGGAAATCAACTTGAAGCTGATAGGTCTCATTAGCGTAAAGGGTACCCGGAGCTCCAGTTACTTCAATAACCCACCTTCAATTCAAAAATCCCAATAACCCCACATAAAAAAAAAGAGACACTAATCAAATATAAAAACTAAAGAAACAAAATCATATATTTAAATTTCATTTTATAAACAGTTCCAAAAAAAGATCCAAACTTTAGTTTGATTTCTTATTTTCCAATAAACTTTCTTTGATTTTCTCAGCAAGAAAACACTGCTTAACAAAAAAACAAAACAACCCATGACAGTAATTAAACAGAAAAAGGACCAAACCTTTGGAGATTATCAGTGACTTTATGTTTAAAACCAGTTGGAGGGTTGACTTGCCACTCAACAAGTTCTTTTTGAAGCCGATTGCAAGCAATCTTACTCAGTGCCTAAAACAAAACAAAATGACTATCGTCAATGATTGATAAGACAATTTAACAAAAGCCCGTGTCATCGATTAAGAGTATGAACCTTGCGGGTTGTTGCAGAGGAGCTCGTCATGGCGGCAAAGATAGCTTTTTAGAGAGAGAGAGAGAGAGAGAGAGAGAGATTTTAGAGAGAAAGAGAGAGAGTTTTTGGTTGATGTGAAGGGGTGTTTGATGAAAGGGACAAAGAGAACCAGCGACTGTTTATGAGGGAGGGATTGTGTTCCCCCACCACCGTATTACCATATCTTCTACTCTCATCTATTTTATTTTTCTTTCTCTTTGTAGTTTGTTAAATAAATTAAATAGTCCTTTACATTATAAAAATAATTAAAAAAATCTCTTGATCGGCATATCCATACTCGATTCAGTCTTTTTTCTTTTTTCTTTTTTTCAAAAATGTGTTCTTTCCATATCAAAATTTCAAACCTTATTACGTACTTTTCTTTTCCTTATTCTTTTCCAAAAAATAAAAATAAAAATAAAAATACTTGAGAGGTCGAGATAAAAACAAATTAAAAAATATAAAGGTTACATATTTTAAAACTATGATGATTAATTATTTAGTTTCAATAAATTATAAAGACTTCATTATTATTAAGGAACCACATATATAGTTAAAAATCATAATTTCACTAACATTTGATATCTAACATCACTAATATTATTGAAATTAAAAAAAAAAACTATAATATTTAAAAAGTAATTACTATATATGTATAATAGTTACATCTTGAATATTATAAAATTTATTATAAAATTATAATTTTTAACTATAAATATATGAAATGTTAGATTGAATTTTTTACTTCATTTTGTTGGAATAAAGTAAATTAAGTGAAAGTTCAATTCAGTTTAACTAGGACCGTTTAAAATGTGAAAGAGGAGAGATCCCCTGCCACGACACATGACTGTAACCCAAGTTGGCATTTTTACTCTTTTATTTAATTGTTTTTTTATTAATATAAACAATTTTTACAGACTGTATATAGCAATATCATTAGCAATCATTTATAACTAAAATTTATCAATTTGTTGATAAATGTGTATGCTTCTCATGTAATCAACTAGGATTTAAATATTAAAGGAGTGCAAAAAATAAACAAATAAATAAAGGTAAGTAGTTTAATATGCATTTATATAATACCACGAGCTTTCAATCTATTTTTTACATTTTTAATTTTATCTAATAAATATTTAAATTTTTAATCTGTTTTTTAATTAATTTTTTATCAAAATATTCTTAACTCAAATGTAAAAACAAATAATAATAATAAAATTCCTCAAAGTCACATGATCTGTTTGTTTTTTAAATATATATATATATATATATATATATATATATATAATCAAGATTATTTCGGATCAAAAATCTATTCATGGTAAAAAAAAAATGATTGAAAGAACAAATAAATGTTTAAACTATAATGATAGTTATAGTTTAAAAACAAAATCCAGCGATTATTTAATTTTTTTAGAGAAATCCATTTTTCTATTGAATTTTCATTTCGTCCGACAAAAAAATTCATATGGGGTTTGAGGTATCCAACATCATCCACTTCCTTCTATTTTCCAAAACCCGTCAAATAAACGTCTTTTCTCTTATTGCATAAGAAAAAATAAATGAAAAAAAATATATAAAATATAACAATAAGCTTGTTCTTGTCAACAATCAACCCCACACCAGTTTACCTGCCACGCAGTCGAGTTGTCTTCAAATCGCTCAGACACCCCACCAGGAACTTCACCTTCAATTGCATAGGTGTCCTTTTTTATTGGTGCTTCACTGACTCTTGACTAGCCAAATATTTTGGTTTTCTCATCTTCCCAACGCTCCAGCCTCTAACCATCGTACATACCGTTTGCCATTATTGCGACAATTAGAGTCAAATGAGCCACTAAACAAATACATAGTTCTGACATAATCCTTTCATGTAAGAGTGAGCAAATCTTAACCACGTCTCCATAATCAAGTTCATTTAGTTCTATAATTTATATTTATAAAAATTCAGTTTGGCTTTTTGTGAGCTGAACCCTTATATTCATATATGAAGAAATACATGATCATCGATGAGGAAGATGGGAAAAATAAAATTGACGAAAGGCACCAGTCTCAATTAAAAAAGAAAGAAAAAGGCTAGTGATCTACAACATGCTGATATTTTATGTATTTTTTTATTTTTTATTTTGTATAATGACCGTTTCAGCTAGGATTCTCAGTGCATTATTAACGCACACGACTTAGATATTGCATTTCCTGATAAATTCACCTACTACGTCACTATTTAATTAAATCAACTAGTCGCTTAGTGAAATAATAAATTAGGTATTATGCATATTGGATAGTAGCAAGCAATCATCAGACAAACACATCATTGTTTAATTTTTAAACTCCAGCGTATAATGTTAGGCGACCATAGGTCGGCGATAGAAGACAACAAATGGTAATTCGCTCAAGCTTCACATACACCAATTTCCTAGAAAGTTGTAGAAAAGGGTTATTAACGCTAATCACCCCACCTGGTTGATAATATAAGTTTTGCTTTTTTTTTTTTTTTTTTTTTTGCAATGTTCTAGTTGTTTCTCATCCAACATCAAAAGCACTAGAAAGAAAAACCGACTTTTACTTGCTTCTTACTTTTCCCCTATCATTTTGTAATCAGGCATCGGCAACCAATATCTGCCCTTTTGACCTCTTCTAAGATGAGTATTAGCATATTCTAGCCTTGATTAATGGAAGTGTTCCCTTGCAATTTGTCCTATGGGGGAGAATCTTCGAGATAGGGGCATCTAATAAAGACAGGTTTGTTAAGAATAATATATTTTTAAAGTAATGAGATAAATCCATCTTCAGTTTCCTCAAATTTCGTAGACAAGATAGCCCACCACCTTTTGACTTGTTGCCAGGTCGAAAGTACTAAAATTTTCATTTCCCATCCAATCCAAAGTATGGGCAACCAATGACTTCAATACAAAAGCAAATGAAAGCCTCTGCCAACTAGTGTATTTTGCTGACAAAATAAGCTAACAGGACTCGTTCATTCACAAGTGGGATGGAATTGGGTTTTGCTTCTATCCTACTGCTTTTGTATAATGTTTGTTTACTTTGTTGCGTGGATTGGCCAAATCGTGGAAGCATAAAGTGCTTTTGTAACGTTACATATGGAATAATGAATAATCAAAAGGTATACAGCTGACGATGATAATGTGCATATTCTGAAGCAGTGGCCACCGGCCAGATGCATCTCCACTCTAAAGAAAAGGTTAAAGCTCCAATTCCAAAAAAAAAAGAAGAGGAGCCTTTTCTTACTAAACAAATGAGAGTTTAAAGCATGTTGAGAAGAAACAATACAGAAACGTTAGATAGAACTGTACTTGCATAAATTAACGTCCAGGTTCCTGAGAATCAGAAGTAACAATATATATATATATATAGGTATAGGACTTTCCCTAAGATGCATTTTCCCTTGGAAGTCCCAAGTATTTATTCCTTTGACATGAATCCAGGAACAAGTACCAGGTATTTATGACTCAAACAATACATAGGCAGGTAAAAGAAAGAAGGAAGTGACAAAAACTTAGTTGTATCCAGTCTAGGGGATTCTGCCTGCTATATATTGCAGGAGTTTTAACAGCATTAAGAAATGCATTTACTTGAAAATAAAGAAAGAGACCAATCTCCGGAAAAAACACACTTACATCACCGGTTACAACAGTTTAAGCCTTAAGGAAATATTATTTATTTATAGCAGCTTCAGCTGTGATTCAAGTGATGTCAGATATTACCCACAGGCAATGATAAGAATGTCCACAGTGAGGGGAAAGGGGTCCGGGAACTTAGCTGTAAGAGCAGAGGGAGTGTGGAAGAACTTTATATGGGTTAAGGATTCCATTGGGGTCCAGCAATTTCTTGATAGAAGCCATCAATTGCACCTATCCAAATGGATTCCACGTGACTCAGACATTATCATGTAAAGAAAACCTACATTATCCAAACATATGCTAGGAAACATGGATTTCTACTATTTTCAAATGGTAGATGCTCACAGTTTCATGTGACTTGCTGTAGAATATCTTATTGGCTTTCATCAATCCCAGGCCATGCTCTGCACTTATACTCCCTCGGTGCTTAGATGTCCACTCATATACGTAGGGTTCAATTTGTGCTAAAATCTGCAATGTCACTGAGGTATTAATTAAGATTGACATAATAGCCAGAACAAAAATGACTCACAGATGTCACTGAAGAAGAAAATTACTGTATCATCATATCGTGGTGCTGAAATATTTAAATGCAAATTGCCATCTCCAAGATGACCATATCCCACCACATTGGCTGATTGACCTGAAAAAATACAACAGAGAGCATGAAAATGGGATCAGCTGATGAATATGTACTGGGCCTACTTCAAAGTATGCAATCACAATCTATATAAAGGATAAAGTAGCCTGCAGAAATAATATGACCCAAAGCAAAGAAAATTTGTGAGAAATTCTTGTTCAACTTCTGGCACATGCATGGCACAATTTTTTTTTCCTTTTCTGAAGGGGTGGCAGTGTTCTCATCTATTGTTGATTTCAGTTATTCTGCTAATACTAGACATGCAGCAAGTTCACCCCTACAAGCTACCAATGCGACCTTGCATTACCATACAAAATGAATTTGCACTAGTTCAGAATTTAATGGGTAATGATGCTGTCTTATTACCCAGTCTTACTCGCATTTCCTCAACAAGGTTGTACATCTTTTCGACTGGTATTGATAAATCATATTTGTATACAGGCCCTGCTCTCATCAAAGCTTCTGGGATACCCTGCAGCCATAGAAAATGATCCAACAAACTGGATATTAACGTCTGCGCCATGTGTTATTCCATACTAGAATTGTTGATGAAGAGCAGAAGCACAAGAATATGAATGCATGATATATAACCATAGAGAAATTTTTACAGTATCGCATTTTGTTATTATAATCATATCAAAGCAGTTTTCTTTCTCCATGTTTGATTTTCCAACGCTTGCACACCCATAGAATTAGTTCCAAAAGTAAAGTAATGATTAGAGGGCACGGTTTATATATGGAGAATATCAGGTTAAGGTTTGTAGCATAGCTAGATCATCGTCTGTCTCAACTCTCAAGAGATAACAGGACAGGACACAAAATAGTCAGAAATGAGTCATGTAGACACGGGGAAATTTGATTGAGTTGGAAATGAGAACCTCGCGTATTTGCCAAAATGAGGATGCTTGATTTATGTCTTGAGCAAGAACTCCATCAGCAATTAAGCCAGCTTCCATTGATCGAAGTAGGAATGCCTCAAGCTTTTCTCTGTAAGCAGTCATATAAATTTTCAGTTTTAGAAACATGACATACTGGGCATCATGTGATCAATCTGTACAAGAATACAAGAAAAGGTGAAAAACCCAAGGATGCTATAATGATTGGTGAAAGATAAAGGGACAAAGAATATCGACAAATGAAAGGTGTTAAAGTATGGAACTTCTGCTCAGGGGATTATATAAGTTACACAATCTATTAGTCATTCAACAAGGTGCATGAGACAGCGATACTCTATTGTCCATTCAATAAGGGGCATATGAAAGCACTCAAGTGATGTTTGGTTACCGGGAAGAGAGTGGTGGGAATGGGAATGGAAGTTTTATTTCCACCTTATAGTTGTTTGGTTGAAAAAGAATGAAGTAAAAATGGAAATGAAAATTAAACCTTCCCATGTTGAAGGTAGGCATCAAAACAAGGAATAAGAATGAACTTTTTTTCTTCAAAATAATGATATAGTATTTTTATTTATTGTGTATCAACTATTTTTACCGCCACCCCCTCCATTGGTTAAAAAAAAAAAAACTATTATTATTTCGTCACCACTCTTCCTAAACCACCATCATCGCTTTTATTATACCACCGTCGACTACCATTGACGGTGGTGATTAAAAAATTATTATTCCACCACCACTACTTCTCAAACACCATTGTTACTTTTATTATACTACCACCATTAACGATGGTGATAAAAAAAATAATATTATTATTATTATTATTATTCTATAACCACTCCTACTCCTCCTCCTCCACCACCACCACCACGACTCTTCTTCCACTCGCCAACTCTTGCGGTGATGGTACCAATTTTTTAAAAATATATTATTGTTATTACTACATTGGTTTTACTACCACCTCCCCCGTATCCTACTACTTCACAACCACCACCACCACAATCACTTCTATCATTTTTATCATCATCATAGTAGATAAAATTATTTTTTTAATCATTATTCTTATTCGTATTAAAAATAAGATATTAAAAAAATTTAAATTTCATTCTAATTTTTCATTACCATTCCAAACAAAGTTTGGAAACGCAAATGCCATTCTAATTCTTGCTTTCCCATTCCAGACCTTTCATTCCTAATAACCAAATGACACCTCAAGGTTGGAGCTTATTCTAGTGTTTTGCATTGTAACGCGAGGCATTTCAAGACATAAAAATAAAAAGTTCTACTCAGTTTCTCTTCAGCATTGCACTCAAAATAAAAAATCTCAAATCATTCCAATAACCATGACCTGAAGTATTTGCAACTACCAAGTTTAAATAGAAGAGGGTGACATTATAGCAGCCTTAGCAAATACTTTTCAATTTTTAAAAGGAAGAAGAAAACTGTTTAGAAGGTTACCTGTCATAAGATTCATCACTGCCTGTTGTCTCAATCAGAACATAAAAGTTGTGTGCTGAAGAAGGCAATGGATTCCGAACACCTTCTAAATGGTTTAGAACCTGCCACATAAAAAACACAATAAGCATAATTCAAAGTAAAAGAAAAGATAAGGTAGCTACAAAATCCGGTTTCCCATCAATATAATAAACAAAAACTGCAAGATAATCTCCAGAAGAAAATTTCTGACCCAACCATGGCAAAGAATGAATTTGTAGATTATGTGCAGATCACACAAGCATGTATTCCAACACATGAAACTAAAAATTGCTTCCTTGCCAGAACATTAAACTCATAATATTTAACATTTTCTTTACAAATATTAAAATACTTATTCCAAATATTTCGCCAAGAAGTTCACAAAAGTCGAATGTGAAATATGATAGCAAAAACTCTAAGTAGGTTCTCAGATATCGACATTCGAGTAGGGTGAGAAAAAAGTCAAAGAATAACTAATCTCCATATAAACCATGGAATCACATTAATTATGAAGATTCTCTTATATTCTTCCAGAAGGATAAGAACTATGTTATAAGGAAACTCAAATTAGGCTCACATATACCTTCATTATACAATTTACACTATCGATTATGGAAACAGGTCCATATAAAGTTGAATGATGGTAAGAACAGAGGTCTTAGATGTAATTGTAATTTCTTAATATTTTTTAATCAGATTGTAATTTCCTACTTGATGTGATTTAAGTAGAAGAAAGAAAAACTTGGTAGATTTAGTGCAACTTTACCAAATCCATTGCATGGCTATCCAAAAATTCAAATGCAGATAGAACCTCTCCAAGTTTCCTCTTCGCTTCTGATAGAAGTTTCTGAAAAGACAAAGAACGTAAGGAGGTAAAGACACTTTCTTCTTAAATTTAACAGAAAAGAATTGAAAGATATTGCAAAAGCAAGTTTATAATTATAATTTGCATTTAAACCTTAATCTTTCTAGAAAGCAAAAGGTATTTACTTTTAGCCATTTTTACATCATTTCAAATTAACTGAATCCCTAAATTCATGTCTCTGTTTGAAGCACCCACCCAAAAAACTATCAGCTTTGGCAAATTGAAAAAAAAAAAAAAATAGGGTCTCATTCTTCCTAATCCTTAAAAAACAATTAGCCAAGTAACATGATTGTAATTAAAACTTTCGAAGAATCAAAATCTGATTCAAATGTCAGATGGAAGTGATAAAGCAGTAGTATTCTAGCTTGGCATGAAGTTTCTTGTTCCATCCGATCTAGCTTACTTTGCAGTCTAAAGTTTGTATGGTTTTGTGGTTATGTTTTGATCAGGACAAAGGATGACTAGAAACAAAGATTCAGTTCCTGTCGAACTGAACAATGCAAGAAGTTTGAAAAAAATTCTCAAGAATTCAACTGGGTGGAACATATATTGATAAAGCAGGCATGAACTACATCCACTAGAAATGCATATGCATGCGCATACTTAATTATTTGTATATCCTGTAGCAATAATATGTGGCAAAAGGAACACAGTTTCAGATGAGATCATAGTCACTTGAAAACATACTTGGCAGCTCGGATAATCTTCACATGCAAGGAAAGCTATATTAACTGAAGAAAGCTTTGGGGGAGTAAGAATCGAAACTTTAGTTACAATTCCCAAGGAACCTTCACTTCCTACACCAATGATACGAAAAATACATCAATTGACAAATTTGCTGAAAATTGGCTGGTGATGGAGAAAAATAATGCCGTGCAAAGTTCTTGGCAATTATACCTATAAACAAATGCTTCAAGTCATACCCTGTATTATCTTTACGTAATGTCCCCACCATGTCAAGAACATCACCATTTGTCAAAACAGCCTCAAGACCTGTAAGATTGGCCAAGAATAAGTTTCGCCTCATTTTACATAGCCATATGAAAATTGGCATCATGCAGTTATAGATATAGGCATGCAATGATATGGACACAAAATAGATATCTATAACACACATCCCATAACATCCATGCATTACCAGCATATTTTAATTGTGAGGTAGTATGACCCAGCAACATAATCAAAATCATCTTATTTGACATAGCCATATGAACATAGGAGTGTCATACTTGCACAAAAGCAAAGCTCAAAGAAAGTAAGTTTCAGGTTCTTAACAAATCACAACTCAGTAGATAACAAGTCTCACCAAGTACATTCCCATGAAGAGAGCCATAACGGAGAAGGCGCAAACCACCTGCATTAGTTGAAACATTTCCACCAATTTGGCAGCTTCCTTTTGCACCTAAGTCCAGTGGCATAATAAATCTGAATGGAAGTGCAATTTACTTGAATGCAGCATGAATTGATAAGTTAAACTTACATTTGCTATAATTTCAATCACAAGGATCAAAGGTCAAAAAATGTCTGAAAGAGTATAATGACATTCTATATTAGAGGTAAGGATGCAATTCAGCAAAACAACAAAAGCAACAATCAGTAACAATATTCTCGGCAAACTGACAGAAGATTTTTCATATATGGTTTCTCTTGCAAAAACTTCTACTACGTATCATATATTTAAGCCATAAAAGCCCTTTAGAATTACTGAAGATCTCAAGAAGTTCACGTAGCATTCAGTTACACGATTGTTAGTTAATTAAAATGAAGTAAACTGCATTCTAATCCTGAAAATAATTAACAATCAATGTAATAGCTGTCATAATATTCCAAGGGAGGAAATGTGAATAACCAAGCTTGAAATTGAGTTTTACTCTGAATTATAGAATCTCATTTTCCTTAAAAAAATAATAATAAATAAAATAAAAAGCAATTGATCTCAGTTCTTCCTTTTCCAAAGATTTCATTAAGTTAAAACCCTCCAGTCCTGAGTTTTGAATACGTTACAAATCTCGCAAGGAAAGAAAACAAAGGTTTATTGGACAATTACCCTTGGTTATCCAGGTAAGAAATCAGATTTTCTAATATGCATCCAGCTTCACAAATTAGTATACCACTGACCTGAAATACACCACAAGACAATAACTTTATAACTGGGTGCTCAGAGCTACTGACTTGGCTTTGTCAAAACTTGAATTTGTGAATCAATTACTAGAACACCGCATTTTAATTTCACACTTTCTAGAAACTTATCAAAATAAAGCCAGCTGTTGCTACAAAAAAGAAAAAGATGACTCTAGGAACTTTAACACTGAAGCAAAAATCTCTTTGAATCCATTGCTACAAAGTACAGCTAGAGAATAAATTCAAAAAGTGCAACTGCAGGAACAAAAGAAAAAAAACAAGAAAACCGTAAATGCGACAAGACTCCTACCTTGTCAAAAGCTATAATCTTATTCATTGAACCCACATTGATAATCACCTGCACAACATATAATCAAAAAGCTTCCAAACATGAGACAGTTTCCAAAAACACAAATAAAATCGCAAGCACTGAAAAAAAAAAAAAAAAAAAAAAAAAAAAACATTACATTACCTCATCGAAGACCGGCACACTTCCACCAACAAGTCCAGTGTTTCCACCTTGTGGAACAACTGCCAACCGCCGCGAATTACAATATCCTAAAATCTTAGAAACCTATCACACAAAAAACAAAACAAAGCAAAAACGTGCCATTTCTAAAAATAAAATAAAATAAAACCGAACTAATTCATAATAGAGTTGTAAATTTAATGAAATAAAAAACGAACGTCCTCGGTGTTTTTGGGGAAGAGTAACAGTTTACTCGATCCTTTATATTTATGCATCCAATCAGTATTTGCTGTCTCTAATCTATCTTCATCTTGAACCACATTTTTGTCCCCTAACACTCCTTTAAAATAAGTGACATCATCAGTATTCAAATTCGAGAACGAGGGATTTCTCTCAACTTGCGTGGCTAAAGAACCCAAACTTCTGTACAATTGTCGATTCAGACCTCCATTTCCATGCGGAAAAGCTGTTTAAAACAAGAAATTACACTGTTTTGTTACAAATTGTTGATTGTTGCATGAATAATAGTAGGATTAGGGAGTGACTGGACCTGAAGTGGAGTGATAGAGTGGCCTATTGGGGGTTAATCGGCGATTAACAAGTGATTTTATGGATTGTTTCAGGATGTGATGAGTCACTCTGTACTTGTCCATGATCGTCTTCTTCTTCTTTGGATGGCGTGATGAATTTTGCTTGCTCGGTTGACCGTTATTTAGGAGCGAGTTTATAAGCAAGTTGGATTAGGGAGTGAACGTACATAAATTTGCTTTCTATATTTATCATTTTTCCGTCAAATTCAAGAGATGTTAAAAGTAAAGAGTAAATTATAAATTAGTCTTTCTAGTTGTACAAAACAAATTAAATAGTCCTTCAACTTTTAAAAACTATTTATGTAGTTTCTTTCATACATTTCATATCCTTTTCTAATTTATTTTGTTTCTTTGTTTTAAAAAATAAAAAAGATAAGGAAAATATATAGATATTATGAAAATATTGACGAGAAAAAATACATTTTTTGAAGTAAATAAATATTAAATTAAGCATGAACAATATTAGTTAAATGACTAATTAATTAATTTTTAAAACTATAGGAACTATTTAATTCATTTTAAAAACCTAAAAGGACTAATTTATAATTTACTTTAAAGATAGGTGTGAAATGTCTAGATTAAAATCCAAATAAAAAAGGATCAAGTATGTTAACAAAAACACTAAAAGAAAATAACATGTCACTGTACATGTTTTTTTGTATGTTTAATTGTAGTTAAAAATTCAATCTTACTGTGGATTCAAACTCAATTGTATTGTTTGTTTCCCTAAATTCTTTCAATCTTGTGGTGGTGCCATTGGATGGGTGGGTTGTTGTTTTTAGTTATTGCTTTTTTAGTTTTTGTTTTTGGTTTTTTTTTTTTTTTTTAAGGTCTTTTTGTGTGCTCAATGTGGAGTGTTTTTGAGATTCTTGGCTTGATTTAATGAGATGACTTGCTTTTTGACCTATAGTTTCTTTTATATTATCATTTTGCTAGTTAGCGGTTTTGTATAAATACATCTTTATCCCTATTTTTTTATTTCTTTTTTACTTTTTATGTCTTTTTTGGTCATTGTACGTTTTTTTTTTTTTTTTTTTTTTTTGTGTACAACATTGAATGCTGCTGCATTGAAGCTCTTTTTTTATATCACTAAAAATTTTTGTCAACTTTTAGTGTCTACACAGCAGATCAAATCTACTAATCTTATAGTATTTATAGATCCATAATGCATGCATATACTCTATTGACATTTTTCAACACACTGTTCTTAATATTTTATGATGATTTTAAACTAATGAAGATTCAATTTTAGCTTATGAGAAATGATTACATTATTTCCTCCCTTAATTGAATGAAATTTCAAGTTATTATTGGTTTCGTGGAAGAATAAATTATTTTACAATAAGATTAATGCACGTATATACTCTATTGACATTTTTCAATACACTGTTCTTAATATTTTGTGATGATTTTAAACTAATGAAGATTTAGTTTTAGCTTATGAGAAATGATTACATTATTTTCTCCCTTATTTGAATGAAATTTCAAGTTATTATTGATTCCTTGAGAGAGGAAATTATTTTACAATAAAATTATCTTCGGACTAGATTGTATATCAATTGAAATGGAGTTTTCTTTTAAGTGATTTTAAAAACTCATTTTCAGAATATAATTTTTTTTTCTAAATGCTAACTCTACAATTTAAACCCATAGAAAAAAATACACACTTCTTTTAAGTTTTTATATCAGACAACTTGGTGGAAGAGTTTTTAAATCTATAAAAGCAAGCCAAATTTAACTTAATATTTTTTTCCATTAATATCCTAACTTTAAAAAATGGGCACTTTTTTTTTTTTTCCAAAAGGGGAGTACCAAATTCAATTTTTTATCTACCATTACAATAAACAAAAAAATTAGATAGTTTACTATCCACTATGAACTCATTGAGTATAATAATGATATATATATATATATATATATATAAAATATTAGATCATCAATTTTATTAAAAATTAACTATACATGATTACACATAACATCAACAATTTACTAGTAATTTTTTATTTTTTTGGATATTTTAAAATTAATTTTTTTGAATAAAATAATTAAAATAATGTTTTAAAATAACCGTCAAATGATTCAAATACACTTTTTAATGTTATAGTATTGATTATTTTGTGATTGAATATATATATATATATATATATATATATATTCAATGTTTCTAAAATTCTAGATTTAATTTTCTATTTAGATTGTTGTAGTTTTCGTTTGAGAATAAATGCATATAAAATAATAAATCATATTTTTTTCGGTTAAAAATTTATGAAAAACATAAAAAAGTATAAATTAAATATAAGATTTTGATTGAAAAATAATTAATTTTTTTATTTTATCTTTAATTTAATACTTTTTTATTAAATTCATAATATAACGTGAGGTATTAAATTGAAATGATTTGGTTCAGCATAATTTGCAAAGCATCGCATGTAAAAAAAAGTGACAAAACTAGTTCATAATACCCAACCATTGAAACAAAAACAAAAAAGAATCAATGGCTCAGAAAGCTTAAAAAATCAAAATTTTATCATAAAACAAGTTCAATTTTTGGGTTTTTTTTTTAAAAAATATTAAATAAATATGGATAGAGAATTGGGCCAATCAGAGCCACTTTTAAAACGGGAAGCAAATACACAAAGATGCGCCGTTTTGGGGAAATGTAAGGAGTCGAAACGACAGTAAGTCAGTAATCCCTATCCAACTCCTGTTTTTGTGCTACAAACTCCTCTACGCTTCGCTCTTTTTCTCTCATGGCGTCTTCTCTCGCATCATCGCTTTCAACGATCCAAAGGCGATGTTGCTGTTTAACTCTCAGGGCTCTCACTTCAAAGAAGCCACACTCTTCTTGTTATCATTGCTATCGACATTTCAATCAAGGGTCCTTCAAAAAGAGGAACTTTCCTCTCACTCTATCAAGAAACTTCTCTCAGCCTCCCGTTTCTAAGACCACTCAAGGTCCTGGTCTTCACCACTTTGTTGCTCAAGCTGCTTCTGCTGCCTCCGCCTCTCGAACACAGCCCCAGTGAGTTCTTATTGATTGTTTTTACTTGGGTTTTGAACAAAATTGAATTTGGACGTATAAATTTAGTGACTTATATTGGTTTAAAATGATTTAGTTGTCCTATTATCCATTTTGCTTGTGGAAATGCTGTTTTGGGAGTTTAGAACAGAAGGGTTTCTATTAGAAATGGGTTTTTACGTGCAGGGTGATTGAAAGATTGAACCTTTATGCTAGAAATGCAATTCAGTTACCACTGGCTTTCCATTGAATTCTCTTTGAAGCAAGTTTTTTGAAGTGAAGATCGTTTTAAAGATTGAAACTTAGCTTCTCTGTAACAAGTTATCGACTGAAATGGAATCCAATCGTGATTGCTTTCCATTGGATTCTCCCGTTTCTTTAGTGAAAGTAACTGTAAAGATTAACGAATTAGAGCTTAATACCAAGTTAGTAATTCCAATATAAATCAATTCCAGTTGCTTCGCTTGAAATCTATATGAAATAGGTTTCTTTACTGAAAGGAGCAATAAAGGTTAAGGCTTCAGGGCTTAATATTTAATAAACTAGTTTAGGACTGAAATTCAATTCATCTATTTCTGTTTTTGATTGCATTTTCTTTGAAACTGGTTTCTTCAGTGAACTTGCTATTAACATTGAAACTTTGAGGCTTAAATGCTGAATGGAATAAGAACTTCACCAGGATTGCTTTCCAATTTTATGCTCCTTATAACATGTTTCTTTGGCAAATGTTGCTGAAACGATTGAAACTTTAGGGTTAAAATGAAGTAAAAAGCTTGAAATGTGATTCAGTTATGATCGTTGTGCATTGTATTTAACAGAATTGGTTCTGAAAATTTATTCTTTCTTTTTTAATTTCTGTCTAGGTTTGTGCCAGCTTTAGAAGTCCCACCAGATATTGAAATTCCACCAAAAGGCCGTATTTATCATGAAACTTATGGGTGTCAAATGAATGTAAATGATATGGAGATTGTCCTATCTATCATGAAGAATGCTGGATTTAGTGAAGTTGTAGATGTTCCAGAAAGTGCGGAGATCATATTTATTAATACATGTGCTATAAGGGACAATGCAGAGCAAAAGGTGTGGCAGAGACTTAATTACTTCTGGTTTCTAAAGAGACACTGGAAGAGCAATGTTGCTATTGGAAGGTCACAGTCACTTTATCCACCAAAGGTTGTTGTGTTGGGTTGTATGGCTGAGAGGTTAAAGGATAAGATATTAGATGCGGATAAGATGGTTGATGTGGTTTGTGGACCTGATGCTTATAGAGATTTGCCACGATTACTGGAAGAGGTTGATTATGGTCAGAAAGGGATCAATACTCTCCTTTCACTTGAAGAGACTTATGCAGATATTAGTCCTGTGAGGATCTCCAAAAATTCTATCAGTGCTTTTGTGTCAGTGATGAGGGGTTGCAATAATATGTGCTCGTTTTGCATTGTTCCTTTTACTAGAGGGAGAGAGCGATCACGTCCTGTGGATTCAATAGCGAAGGAGGTGGCAGAACTCTGGAAGGAAGGTGTGAAAGAGGTAACTCTTCTTGGCCAGAATGTAAACAGCTATAATGATGCATCTGGGATTGAAAAGGAAGTTGAACCTGGGATGAATTGGAAGTTTAGTGACGGTTTCTCCAGCATTTGCAAGGTGAAAAAGATGGGTTTACGTTTTTCAGATCTCTTGGATAGGCTTTCCTCTGAATTTCCTGAAATGAGGTTCAGATACACATCACCACACCCTAAAGATTTCCCGGATGACTTGTTGTATGTAATGCAGGACAGACATAATATCTGCAAATCTATCCATTTACCTGCTCAAACTGGGAGTAGCACAGTTCTTGAAAGAATGCGTAGGGGATATACGAGAGAGGCATACTTAGATCTTGTGCAGAAAATCAGGAGAATTATTCCAGATGTAGGGTTAACCAGTGACTTCATATGTGGTAAGAGTTCCTGTGAAAATATATTAATTTTATATTAAATTGAAACTTGCACTTCTAAAAAATTTTATGCTTGGATGATATATACAAAATCCTGCTTTTAGTCTTCAGTCTATTGTTGACTGTCATTTGTGAGTTTGGATTCCTGTGTTTGTGTCCTGGTTGGTCCATTTGTTTTTTGACCTGTGTAACCAAAGCATTAAGTTGAAAGAGCTTAAGTCAAATGCTTGTTGGTTGCTATTGGTAATATATAAGAGCCTCAATATTAATTATTTCAGGTTGTCATGAGGCAAACCTCCTTGGCATGATTTCCTAGTTCTCCGATGTCAAAGGAGTTAATATTGGGTGAAATCATATAAGCATCTTTTTTTGGGCCCTTGAATCCTGTTGTTCATGCCAGAGTTTAAGACCAACTGAATTCATATTAAACCTATTTATCTTTAGAATGTCTGATAGTGATTATGTTCTGGTTCCATGTAGTTTATGCCTGTTACTGTGGGAATCTCATAGGTTTTACCATTTTCTCGATCATGCAGTTATACTCATTGATTTAAGTACTGTTGCATGCAGTTCTACTTTCTTATCTGTAGTATCTTTGCCATTCTCTCTCCCATCTCTCAAGTTCCCCAACCAGTCTGTATGAGAAGACAGAATTTCCTTTCTTTTGACTAACCAACCTCCTTATATGATGATGCCCATCTCTATTTATCAATTTTAATTTAGATTTAGATGTAGATTATCCACATAAGAATTGCCTCTGGGTTTGCTTATACAACATCTATGTCCCCTAGTTGTTTATGATGCTGAACCTCAGTTTGATATTTCCTTCTTAAGGTCTCTGTTCATTTCTACAGGTTTCTGTGGTGAAACAGAAGAGGAACACAAAGATACGCTAAGTCTTGTAAAGGCTGTTGGTTATGATATGGCATATATGTTTGCTTATAGCATGAGGGAAAAAACCCATGCCCATAGGAACTATGTTGATGATGTTCCTGATAAGGTCAAGCAGAGGAGGCTTACTGAAGTCATCGAGGCTTTCCGTGAGAGCACAGGTCAGTGTTTTGACTCTCAGATTGGATCTGTCCAACTTGTTTTAGTGGAAGGGCCCAACAAGAGAGCTCCAAAGACAGAACTTATTGGCAAGAGTGATAGGGGCCATAGAGTTTTATTTACCAATCTGCCACTGCCAAGTCGAGATGAGAATGGAAGTCCAGCACGGAACCCCATAGTTGGGGATTATGTGGAAGTTCATATATTGAAATCGACACGTGCTTCACTCTTTGGAGAGGCACTTGCTATTACCACACTGAGTTCATTTTACAACAATGTCAACCAAGAAGCTGTTGCCTGTGCAAGCTGATTCTGAACAGCACTAGCTGTCTGGAATGACATGCATTTCCATATTTCAGTTAAATTAACAGTAGATCACTGTCGTATTCTTTCTTAGCATTGGTGGAGCTGTTTCTTTCTAGGAGATTCAGAATTTTGCATTCCATACAGAACTAGGTACCATTCTCTGCAAACATTGACATATAGTAGAGGTGCGAGGTGCTAGTGCTTAAGCTTTGGCGGAAGCATTGAGGTTGACATTTGCAAAGTGTTCAGTGCAATCAAGTTTCTTGCTTGAATAGTGTTATCCAACACGAACAGAGTACACAGATCATATCAAATGGAACGCTTCAGCTGTTAGATTGCAGGATCCACACGTGGAGCCCACCAATTGGACGGTTCTTTTTCATGTGATGCATTTCACTTCATGTCACTTCTTTTTTTCATGACAAATGCACTTTCCCTTTCTTGTCTCTATAGGGTTTAAGGCTTTGTAAATGTAAATTTAGTGATCTGAGACATTGAAATAATTTTGTAGGGGCTCTATTGAAAAATGTTTTCCCATGTTATTGATACTGTGCAGTTATATGCTTTGCTCCATGTATGAAGAAGATGAATAGAATTTGATTTTCTTTTTATGTCTTCAGAACGTGAATGATAAAACTGAAATAGTTTGTGATATGGGAGTGCATACCCTAGATCACGAAGTCAAGAATTCGAGGCCGATTGGACTTGAAGATGGTGAAAGCTTCGATGTTCCTGGAGGAGAGAGATATTCAAGATCTATTTGGGCTGAAATTTTGAGCCTTAATTATCTTTATTTATACTTTGAGTTTTAGTGTTTAATTTATCCTAATTGTTTAAGGATTATTACCTTTATTTGGGTTTATTTTGTGATTTGGATTTGAGCTAATTAATTAGTACTCATGGGTTATGGATTGCTAATTATTTGGGTAGTGGCCGAATGACCTAGGATATTTAGGAAATGTGGAATTCATATTTGTTTAGAAATTTATTATTATTAAGGGTCTATGTTAAGTTAGGAGTGCATAATTGTTATGAATTAGGGTTGGAAAGTCCTTGTTGTTTTAGGACTAAGTTGGCTTAATGTTTTCTTGTGTGTAGGGGATTTTTTTTATCACATATTTTGATGCTTTAGGAGCCTAGTATTTAAACAACCTTATGTAATGTGCAAAAGAGAACTTTTGGATATTTTGAAATAATAAACTTTGAGAAGACTGTCCTCACTTCCTGCGTTTTTCTTGTGTCATATAGGAACGTGATTACTTATCCTTGATTTGATCACTCAATGTGGTGTTTTTTATCATCTGCGTTTAACTTGCAAGGTGGCAATTCTTCTCATCCTTAAAGGTCAGCCTACATATCTCTAAGTAAGTCTTGACATCTATAGGAGTAGGTCTTGATTTATGCCTTTATATTTTGTTAATTGAACTTGCTTGAATTGGATTGATTATCATAAGTTTCGGTTTAATCCTGCACAATTACGGTTCTGTTCTTTTGCTTGTTTGTTTGTAAAATTCAAATAGCTTAAATGAGGGGCTATGGTTGTTTGATTGATCTGCATTTTGGACCATAACTTTATTCATACCTTAACTAGGAGTGGTTAAAATTTCAGAATTATCACAAGTTTTGCCAGGGTTTCAACTTGCTGCAAGGTTTTTGGTTTGGCTAGATTTTTATTGTTGTGCTGATTGTGGGTGTTGATTTCTGGTTGTTGAACACTTGTGGATTGATTGATGCTTGTGAGATTTTATTTGTAATTGTTTGGGTTGAGTATTGTTGAATTGCTTGTTGTTAGTTTTGGCTTGAATATATTTTGTGCTTGTGCATTCAGCTTATGCATTGTTTTTACAGGATCTGTATCAACTTGGTATCAAAGCTTAAGTTAGGTTCTGTGTGTATGCATTAACACATTCTATGAAGATGGAACGATCAAATTGAGATAAAGAATCATTGGTGATCCGAAAGGTGTTGAATGCAGAGATAACCCTCGAGGAGGATTGGTTGAGATGTAATGTTTTCCACTCTTATTGCACTTCTCACGGTAAAGTGTGTGAATTGGTTATTGATGAAGGTAGCAATGAGAACGATGTTTCAATAATGATGGTGGAGAAACTCAACTTATTAAGTGTTAATCATCCTCCTAATCATTTCAAGGTAACTTGGCCGAGGAAGAGTAATGACATTAGAGTGACTAAAAGGTGTCTTGTGCAATTCTTGATATGGAAAAAGTACCCCAAAGAGATGTGGTGTGATATGATTTCTATGGAGGCTTGTCATCTTTTGTTGGGAAGATCATGGCAGTATGAGAGGCGAGTTGTGTATGACAGGTTTAAGAACAATACCCCTTTAATCTAAAGGGAGAGAAGTTTGTCCTCAGGCCGATGAAGAAAGAGCTTTTGGCTAACAACCAAGATAGCCAAGAGGAGTTAAGTGTCCAGGTCTATGTTCATTAAAGAATCGGAGGAGCATGGCGATGCAAGTCTAAGAGTGAAGAAGATGAGGTCCAAAAGGACAATCCCTTCCATTTTGAATTTAGAGGAGAGAAATTTTAACAACAAAGAGATGACGAAGATGCAGAAATTGTTGGTGATTCTAGTTTTTTTTTTTTTTTTTTGGGTGGATTGGACTTAACCCCTGAGGTTGATGAAGATCTCATTGAGTTTGATGCATGTCAGAAGTTTGATTTTCTTACAGATTTGGACCAATCTTCAACCTGTTATGAGGATGATGCTGACTTTAGCAATGCTAAAGTTATCGAAATTTCTAGCCAAAGAATAGATTATGCTGCCAACTTGAAGAGCGCTGCGAATACCAAAATTTTGAACGACAAAGTCATCGATGCTACCAACAACGAGGAATCAGAAAAGTGTGATAGCAACAGCAGCCAACAAACCCAAGTTCAGTAAGAAAACAGTCACGAAGTTTCCTACAATCAATCTAATCTAGTTGTTAAAAACATCCCTTGCAACGTGCATGATTATTTTCAATTTTCATTCAATGGGGTCGATGACGATTTGCAAGTAGAGGTTCAGTAAATTGGCCGACCATGTCTAGAAGACAATGTGAAGACGGAAAAGCTGGCAGCTTTTTTTGAAGAAACGTAAAAAGAGACTATAGTTAGTGATGCTCTAGAACAAATTAGGTTGTGGGATCCAACAGTAGTTGCTACTCAAAACCGAAGGAGACTTGTTTATGATGAAGATAAGAAACAAAACGATATTAGTAGGACTACACTATTCATGAACACAAACTCAACAACAAATTCACTTATTATTACTCAACATCATGATGTCTTTGTATGCTTAGAAGACTCATCAATGGATTCTAAGAGCATAGAAGTCGCAGCTATTGAAACTTAGGAAGATGAAAATCATTGTGAACAAGTTACTAGTATTGACTGTCCAAATCGTATGCAAAACTTCCACGATCAGAGAGTCATATTATTTCATGGGATCTGTCATACCACCTAATTGCTAACACGACCATAATAGTAAGGAATTATGGAGATCCATAACCACAAAAGGGCTGGCTCTTGGTGGTGCAATCCACCATAAATCTGCCGCAAAGTCAGAAGATGACCACGTATTGAGGTATATGTTTATCCAAAACAAATTGCGTAGATTTTGTATAGTTTTTGTAGAATCATCCTAGTATACAGAAGTTGTGGCAACCAGTACAGGCTTGACAGTATACTAATCGAGAGAGCTCAACAAAGCCGAGAATACTTGTAACAGATTCTTATTTCGGTTCAAATTCAAATGTAAAATTGTATCAGTACATGAAGAATTGTTGTGCAAGTTCTATGTCATTAAAAAGGTGTTTGAATCTAGTTTCCAATACATCAAACGGCTCCTAATTTGGAGCATCTTATCCGAAGTTATGGTTTTTTTTTTTTTTTCCCGACAACTTGTGCAAGATGATTATGCTCGAGTGGTGGAGCATGCTAGTCTAGAACTCAAGGATATTGATCTTCGGGTTTACTTGGATGAAGAAGAATAAGTCAAGACATCGAGGACGACTTCTTTTCAATTCAGGAAGCTTGATGTGGAAGTGCATGCTCTAGGTCACGAAGTTGAGAGTCCAAGGTCGATTGGACTAGAAGATGGGGAAAGCTTTGATGTTCCTTGAGGTCTAGACATTCAAGATCTATGTAAGTCGAAATTTTGAGCCTTAATTATCTTCATTTATATTTTGGATTTTGGTTTTTAATTTATCCTAATTTTTTAAGGATAATGACCTTTATTTGGGTTTATTTTGTAATTTGGATTTGAGCTAAATAATTTATTTGTCCTCATGGATTATGGATTGCTAATTATTTAGGTAGTGGCTGAACTTGGTCAAGGATAATTAGGAATGTGGAATTCATATCTGTTTAGAAGTCTATTATTACAAATGGTCCATATTACGTTAGGATTCTATAATTGTTATGGATTAGAGTTGGAAAGTTCTTGTTGTTTTATTATCAAGTTGCCGAATGTTTCTTTTTGTGTAGGAGACTTTTTATCACATATTTAGATGCTCTAAGAACCTATTATTTAAATAATTTTATTTAATTTGAAAAAAAGAGCTTTTGAATATTTTGAAATCATAAACTTTGTGAAGACTTTCCTCTCCTCCTACTTTTTCTTGTGTCATATAAAAACTTGATTATTTATCCTTAATTTGATCACTCGCAGTGTGGTATTTTATCATTCGCGTTTAACTTGCAAAGTAATATTTTTTTTTAATCCTTAGAAGGTTAGTGTACGTATCCCTATGTAAGAATTGATATCTACAAAGTTAAGATTTGATTTATGTTTTTCTATTTTTTGCTAATTGAAACATGTTTGAATTGGATTGATTATCATAAGTTTTAGCTTAATCCTACACAATTAGAGTTCGACTTTTATGATTGTTTGTCGATGAAATTCGATTAGTTTTAATAAGGAGTTAGAGTTATTTGATTGATCTGAATTTTAGACGATAAATTCATCTATACCTTAACTAGGAGTGGTTAAAATTTTAGAATTATTTGACAAGTTTTTTTAGGGTTTTGGCTTCCTGCAAGATTCTAGGTTTTTCTAGATTTTTGAGTTGTGTTGTTTGCGAATTGCTGAGCACTTGTGAATTGATTGATGCTCGTGAGATTCTATTTGTGATTGTTTGGGTTAAATAATATTACTGAATTGTTTGTTATTAATTTTGGCTTAAGTAGCTTTTATATTTGTGCATTTGGCCTATATCCTATTTTCATAGGGTCCGTATTAGTTTGTTTTGAAAATTTGGTTGCGAATTGATATGATAGTATAACAAGAATTTCTGTCTTGCCACTTCCTCGTGTCGGTCGACTATAGTGGTTCCTTAGCTAATCACGCCTTCTGGAACTCAAATAGTCCTGGACGAAGGTTGGCCAACCTTGCCAATGGCAATCCACATCCATTTGATTCCGCAACTGCAACTGCAACATGGCATATATCGTCATCAATTGATTCCACTTTATCGTGTAGTATATATCCTAAGTGATTGAGCTTCACTGGAGTCTCAAATTATCCATGATTGTATCTTGACCCCAACTGAAATGCTCGATGTGTCCCTATCAAATAGATCTTTCTACTGATTGCACCAGTACTCATGATCAATCTAATGACTAATTTACACTTGATCTCAAACTCACAATTGTTGAAAGGAACAAAAAGTGGTCAAAGCATATAATGAACATGCAGGAAAAACAGACCACTTGCTTCTAGTGCAACCATGTCAAATGGCACCCACCCCAGTTGATTTTTCAGAGTCAAAAACACTTTCAAGAAAACCTTTGTTGGATCACAACTCACATACCTCAAAAGATGGGTATCGATTACTGTAGTAGTAATGTTTTGTGCACGAGAGAGAGGGAAGGTGGGGGGTGACAGCAACAGTACTGATAGTTCTGAGAATGATGAAGACAATACGAAGGTTTTTTCTGGTGTTCAGAGCAGGAAAGTGGAGAGTAAAAGGAGATGGCTGACAAATTTCGGCGCCCCATAGAGGCCCAGTGGACGTGTCTTACGTGCCCACTGCATGTCTTTGGGTTGCGTGACATAACACCAGCTCCCATCTAGGTGAACAAAGAAATCATAGCCCAAAAGGTTTATTTTTATTTTGGTTACAAAAGTTGTTTTTTTTTTTTTCAAATAGAAGTTAGAATCTGAAACTTTTGAGAAGAAGAACGTGGATCACGATTGAAATCAAATTCAATATAAGTTATTTTCAGTGCAATCATTCAATATCTATACAAAATTATCAAAACTATATATTTTATTTTCATTTTCATTTTCATCTAAAACGATAGATAGTGTTAAGATAACGGATGCTAGAATCCAGATAAAAAATAAATATTCAAATTCCTTATTTTTTGAATAATAAATATAAGGCAGATATGAGAAGTGATAGGCAAAAGAAAATGGGATTCGACTCCTCTCCATTTCTGAATTCCTCAATTTCTCTCAAGTCTTTATCTTTCTTCTCTTTTATGAATGGAACCCACTCAAGATTCTGTATTGCCATGGGTTCAATTTTAAATTTATTATTGTGCCTAAAGGAATCATAAAAAACTTTTCATGGTTAATTATAATTGTGTTTCTAATATGTTTATTTATATTTTTAGGTTTTTAAATGAAAGAAATTGAATTGGAATGTTGATGGATTGAAAATTATCATAAAACCTGAAGAAAGTTACACGAATCATTGCTCAGCAAATGTTAGATAGAATTGATCAAGCATGTTGGTAGGGAAAATAAACCTACGAAAGTAATGTTGGGATAAGGTGGCGATATTGGTTTTAATGACGTATCGAATATATTGATAAAGACTTGAAAGAAACGGAGGAATTTAGAAGAGAAGGGGAGCCGGACCCAAAAAAAAAAAAAAACATTCCGACACCTATTAAGTATTATATAAATGAATTTGTTGGACTGCATTGATTGTTGAATTGTGATTAAAAAACCAAGAAAAATCAACTATTTGAATGAAAATGAATGGTACCTTTATAATTAATGTCCATAACTATTTATATTTCTTATAACTTTTTATATTTTTAAATTTATCATTATCATACATAAATATATTTACTTTTTATTAAATTTATAATTTTAAATTCTGTGTAATATTCAACTATAAATAGGTGTATTAAGTGAAGAAATATGTGAACTAGCTTTTATATGAAATTTTTTTTACAGATATCATTACCTTTATAATATATTATCGGCATAAGTGCTCCGTCTAAAGATCTAAATTATATAAATCATTAAAAATATATATGTATTTAATTTATCTTTTACTTTAAATCAAATGATACATAGAATATACTTTTGAAAAAAATTGAATGATTTAATATATAAAATCTAATAATTTAATGTTCGTTGTTTAAAAAACTTGAATTTTATTATTATATCTCGTTCTTACTCCCTAACACTATTATGATATCTTGTACTATAGAACTTTTATCACGTCAAACCTTATAAAACTTAATTTTATAGCCCTTGATATTTTGAAGAAGAGTTATTTATCATGGGTGCTTGAGTGCTAATGGCCTTGAAAAAACAATCAAGGATGGTGATCAAGAATCCTTGCAAAACTATGCTAAGGGAATCTCCTTCACCATTACCTCCATGAAGATTTAAAAACTGAATATTTAATAATAAAGGATCCACTTGAATATTGAAAAAAAAATTTAGAGAAAAAGTATAACCACCAAAAGATGGTACTTTTTCAAAAGCTCGTTATGAGTGGATGTATTTAAGATTACAATATTTAAAAATAGAAACCAAGTATAATTTTGATGTATTTAAAATTAGTTCTTAACTAAAATTATGTAGAAAAAATATTATTGATTCGGACATATTACATAAAATATTTTTTATTTTTCATGCCTCGAATATGCTCATGCAACAATAATATCGAAAAAAAGTTTTAAGAAATATTCTAAATTAATTTAATGTTTGATTATGGCCAATCAAAATAAAACGCTATTAATGAAAAATTATCTTGCTCAATTGGTTGTACTCCATTCACTAAAGTGAACATGACAATTTATGATAATTTTGGGTGTAGACAAAGACATGGACATGGATGTGGTCGTGGCCATAGCCATAATCATGGTTAGAATAATTATTATTATAATCATGATGGTCATAATAATATATCTTACTATTAGAAGTGGATAAACTATGAAGAAAAAAAGAAAAAAAAAGACAAAAGTGGATCAAGCTAGTATTCTAAAAATAAATGTTATCATATAACGTAATAGGAGATTGGTCGCTTACCTATAATACTTCAAGGTATCTTCTTGAGTTTTGTCAAACCTCATTCAATATATATATATATATATATATATATATATAAAGGAAAATTTTATATATCAAAATGATACTTTCAAGAATGATCGTCTTTATGGTCTTGGTAATTTGACACATTTTGATGTTGCTAATTTTATTGAAAACTATAAAGGAAAAGATCATCAAATTAATGGCAATACTTGAAATTATGACTTTTTAGCTTCTCTCTTTATAAATAAGATGTTTTATATTTTCTTATAATTTCTTTTACATTGTGATAGTTACAAATCTCTTTTACTATATATTTATTTATTTGGTTTTGTATTTATGAAGAATATATGGATAGTGCCAACTCCATGATTGGTTTAAACATCAAACATGAAAATTTATGTCATATAGATAGACAACAATGTATACTATACTTAGAAATAAAAAGTATTTTTCTCATTTAGTAATGGGCGAATCTAATGTTAATATTATATCTAGTAACATCATTCTAATTGAAAGCTCGAAAGAGCTAATATATTATTACTCGAAGAAACAAATTTTATTATAAATAATGCATTATTTTTCATTATTTTCTCTTAAGTTCTATAAAAATTTACCGAGTTTCAAAAACATTTGTGTTAATGAATATCACAACGAGATAACAATCATAGAAAATATATAATATTTATATATTATAACTATTACATTGGCTAAAAAAAACATGTATTGTAGAAATTATCTACTTTCTCTTTTGGCCTTTATTACAAAAATATTCGAATGATTGAAACCAATGTTATAAAAAATCAGAAGGTTATTAATTTAAATACTTTTATTATATGGTATGATTGGTTGAGTCATTCCGAATCCATTGTGATGTGAAAAGTTTCTAAAAATTCATACGAGCATCAATTTAAGAGCTAGAAGATTCTTCAATCTAATAAATTTTCATGTTACGTATATATATATTCTCAAGACAAATTAATTATTAAGTCATCACCAAAGAAAATTGAGATTGAATCCCCTATATTTTTAGAACGTATTTAAGGTAATATATGTAGACTAATTCATTCTTTATTTGGACTATTTAGATATCATATAATTTTAATAAATGCATATACAAGATGATCATATGCATGCTTATTATCAACTCAAAATCTAATATTTTTGAGGTTGTTTGCTCAAATAATGCGATTACAAGTATAATTTTTAGATGATGCTATTAAAACAATTCATCTTAACAATGCTTGGTAAATTTTCTTTTTAAATATTTAATGATTATTGCATGTTTATTGAAATAAAGGTTGAAGATCCTACTTGTTCATGTTCATACTTAAAATGACTTAGCAGAATCACTTATCAAACGCCTTCGATTGATAGCTAGACCATTATTTATGAAAACAAAACTCTCTGTTTCGTTTGGAGAGATTCGGTTTTACATGCAACAAACTTATTGGTATTAGACACATAAGTCGTCAAAAATTATCCTCTCTTAAATTAGCTTTTGCTCATGAATCCAATATTTTTTATCCAAGAGTTTTTAGATGTATAGTATATTTCTAAGTGCTCCTTCATAAAAAACTAAAACGAGACTTTCAAATGAGATTGGGAATATATATTGGATATAAATCTCATTCTATAATTAATTATCTTAAACTATTAATATAAGATATTTTCACAAGTAGATTTGCCAACTGTCAATTTGATGAAGTGATTTTTTTAACATTAAGAAGAGAGAATAAGCAATTGAAAATATTAAAAAATGAGATTACATGAAATACTATATCTTTACATCATCTTGATTTCTGCGCAAAATAATATGAATTAAAAGTTTAAATAATAATTTATTTATAAAGCCTTACATACCAATTGCTAGATGTCTTTTTGTATCCAAAGAGAATAACTAAACCACATTTCTCAATTAAAAATAGTCACATTATAATTATTGTCACGGTAAAACAACTTATTAATGTTATAGCAAAAGAATCTAAAACATGTTTAAAGAATAGAAAATCGATCGGTTTTCAAAACAAAAATTCTCAAAAGGACAAAAAAACATACAATCAAGATGAAAATATAAAAGAGAGAGATATTCACATAAAAAAAAAATCCAAGATATATCTAATATCAAACTTTTAGAACTAGTCCAAATGCTTTAAAATAATCGAATGAAAAAAATCAAGAGACTTCGATAAATTATGTCAATATAGAGAGAAATGGAACCAAAAAATAAGGATTTTGATTCTAAATCTATTGAAGAATATCAACATAAAAATAAATGATTTAAATAGAAGATGTAATCAAGATAGAATTAAATTCTCTTAAAAAAGGACTAATCTTTGGATCTATAATTAAAACACTTGAAGATATTAAGTCGGTAGGATATAAATACGTATTTATGTAAAAATAAAATGAAAAAAATAAAATTATGAAATACAAAGCAAGACTTGTAGCATAATGGTTTTCACAAAAATACGGCATTGACTATGATTACAAATGAAAAATTTATATTTTGTTATGGGACTTTCATATATTCTCTTGTAATGCAATTATATTTTGTTACCTCATTAGCTCGATGACGGATGAAAAATTTCATAAACATTTAATAGATATAATCACGAGTCTATTTGCATGGTTCACTTGATAATAATATCTATATGAAAGTCCCATAAGAATTTAAGATGTCCGAATCATGTAATTTACATTCCTAAGAAATATACTCAATAAAATTATAGAGATATCTACATAAATTGAAACAATATAGGCACACGTGATATAATCGCCTTAGTGAGTATTTGTGAAAAAAAATTATAAAAACGATCTTATTTGTCTATGTATTTTTATAAAGAAATCCAAAAATAGATTTGTGGTAATTATTGTATATATTGATGATTTAAATATTATTAGAACTCTTGAAGAGATTTCAAATTTCATAAGCTATCCAAAAAGAGAATCGACATGCAAGATATTAAGAAAAAAATATTTTTATGTTGACTTATAATTCAAATACTTAGAGGATATGATTTTTATTCATCACTCAACTTATATAGAAAAGGTTCTATAGCAATTTTGTATGGACAAGCCTTATCTATTAACTAGCTCAATAATTTTTTGTTCACTTAATATCCAAAATGATTTTTTCCGAACTCAAGAAGATAATGATATTTTACTAATAATGTTCAATTTGATATATTTTTTTTTGTAAATTTATTAGTAAGATATAATTATACTACAACACATAAACATTCAAATGAAATTAAACATATGCTATGTTATCTTCAAAAACCAATTGATAATAAGCTTCCTTTATTTAAATGAATCAAAGTTAAGATTAATTGATTATGTAGATGTAAGTTATTTATCTAATTCAAATCAAATTCGAATATAAACTGATTATGTATTTACACGTAGTAATGCAACTATATCATAACGTTCTATGAAACAAACTATAATTGCTACATCTTCAAATTATATAAAAATACTAGCAATTTACTAGGCAAATCGAAAATGCATTTGGTTAAGATCAATGATCTATCATATCCAAGAAACATACAATTTATCCACTAGCAAAACAAAGCATATATTATTAAAATTATTTTTTGCACTTGATCTTCAACAGAATGATGATATTAACGTTTAACGAATTTGAGCGAGTGACAATCGATATATTTATTTACTAAGATATTACTCATCATAATTTTTTTAAGAAAATAATTTGTCAATTTAGAATGTATCATTTTAGAGATTTTAAATAATATTTTTAATAAAGTGAGCCCAACATAAAAATTAATATATACAAGAAATATTGTACTCTTTTTTCTTCTATAGAATTTTTTTCACTTGGTTTTTTTTCCTAATAATTAAGGTTTTAAAGAGGTATATTCTTTGCACTATAGATATTTAAAATAGAGTATTATAAAATAATAAATGTCCATAATGAATGTTTATAACCATTCATACTCTCTATAACTATTCATATTATCCATTGTGATTCTATCATAATTATCATGCATGAATGTATTTATTTATAATCTAAAATTTATGTAACATTCATCTATAAATAAGTAGTTAGATAAATAAATATTTAAATTTATTTTTTTATTATCTTTCTCTTCGACTCTTTTATTATTATAATTATTTTTATAATATATCTTTTACTATTATTATTACTTTAATAATAAGGTATTAATTATAAACATCAAATAATTATTATTTTGCATAGTAATATTATTAAGTGGTTAGGATAAATTCTATAACTAAAAAGAAAGATGAAAATTGATATAACAGATTAAATAACTCTTAAATAATGTGATAAAGACACCCTTGAACTAAATCCTTGATCATATGAAAACAAAATCAATTTTCTCTTTCCTTCTAATAAAATAAAATCTTTCTCATTCTATAATCATACTAAAAACAAGTTCTTTCATATCATCCTATTTGGCAAGGTTATCTTATACTTCATAGGGGAAAAAAAAAACAAAAAACTAGGTAAATGAAAAGAAGACAAAATATATCAGCCTGGCGGACTGGGTGCACCCAATATGGCCAACTCATTAAACTCTAGATCTCCTAAGTCTCCCACTCAAGATCTCTATGCCCCTCTCATTCATTTCTCTTACAAGGACATCAAAGAGAGAGAAGTTTCTCATAAACGGACACGAGAGAAAGAGAAAGAGGGATAAGAGAGCAATATAGGACTAGTGCATGTAGTTATTAAAGGGTCAGTTTGGATAGCTCTAAAATTAAGTTGAAGGGTTTGTGACTGCACGAACTAGGGTTTCAAGCAGGAAAAAGATAGAGAGAAGAGGGTTTTATTTGAGAGAATGGCATGGTTTATAGGATTTTGGGTTTTGGTTGGTATCTTTGTAGGATTGTGTTGGTATGGTAAAGAGAAGAGGAAGAAGAACAACACAAAAATGGAAAAAAAGAGTGGAGTGCTTCCAAAGGGAAGCTTTGGTTGGCCTTTGATAGGAGAAACTCTTGACTTCATTGCTGCTGGTTACACTTCTCAACCTGTTAGTTTCATGGAGAAACGCAAATCACTGTAAGCTTTCTATTTCTCTCAGTTTCTTTTTGGCTTTTAAGATCTTCTCTCTGCCTTTTCTCTAGCTGGCTAGCTAGCTATTTACATCTCCCCGTGAGGTTAAAAGCTGATCGCATCTTTAATCTCTTCTGCTTTTTTTTTTTTATCTTTCTTTTTCTATATTAAAAGCTAATTAAAATTGATTAAAAAGTTAAAGTGGGTATAAGTTGGCATGCTCACCAGCATAGATTCACGTTAGTCCCTCTTGGTTGGATGATGTAGGGTTTTCATTTATAAAAATTCTTTCTTGGTTGATATTTTATTATAATCATCAATATTATCACCATCCTGATTTTTCTTTATATATAAAATGGAATACATGCAATTAAGGTATTGGTACTAAAGCTTTCTTTTTATTGAATGTGGTTCAAAGTTTTGTCTCAGAATTAGACTTCTTGGAAATACTCAAGATAGATTTCTTTTTTGCCATTTTTTTTTAGGCTCCAAGCACTTTTGGAAACAGCCTGAGTTCTGTATCAACTGATCTAATGTTTTACTTTACAAGATATGCCACATTGATCGTGTCCTTCATAGCCCAAAAAATAAAAAAATAAAGATTAAATTTTATATGATTGGAATTAGATATCATATTACTATGCTCTTCTACTTCTCCTTTGTTGATGTGATCGAGAAGCATCGATGTTTTTAGGGGCGAGCATGATTACGATTAATTGAAAAACTGAACCATACTAAATTGAATTATGTATTTTAGTTTGATTTTGAATTTAAATTTGTAAAATTAAAAACCAAACTGCAATACCAAAATTATTTCGATTTGTTTCAGTTTTTTTTTTTAATTTGGTTTTTAACAAAAAAAATATATATATATATTGAAATTAAAAACTAAAAAAAAAAAAAAAAGCACCTGCCACCACTAAATCTTCAACTCTAAAAATTTTATTTTCTATACCTATTTTGAGATTTAAATTATGGTATGCAAGGAGAAAGCATACCATTTATTAATACAGTCCATGTACTAAAAAAATAAAAAGCCTCTAAATATAATTCCAGCTTAATTATATTTAGAATTTTTTAATTAAAAAAAAATTATGTCAATTAATATCGAATTTTTACGACTCCAATCAAAATAATTTAGTTTTAAATTGAATTTATTTTTATTCGGTTTTGTTTTTATTTTTTTAATTTGATTAATCGAAAATCAAATCGAATTTATACAAAATCAATTTGTTTAAGTGTTTGCTTGTCGGTAGATGATTTACCACAATCAGTGTGTGTGTGTGTGATGGTGGTGGTCATGTTGATGATCATGATGATATAATGTGGATTTGCCAAAAATACATTACTAATTAACCAAAGTAACACCCTACAAAAGCATCACATTCATAAGCATGCACGCCTCTATAAAAAGCAAAAGATTTTGTGAATCTGTGCAGGCTCTTAGAGTTTTAATTTTTCTTCTTCTATTTTTTTAGGGTTATTTTATGTTATTGCTTTTTATTGATCCCCTAAGCTAATGAAGATGTTCTTCGAAACACGCACATGTATATGTACCTATAAGACCTTTAACTAGTAACAATCTTAGATCCTGTGAAATGCACGAATAATTAATTGCTCTTCAAACCAGTATAAGCACAGAATGTCAGAGTTTTCTTGGTGAGCTATCATTTTGCTAATTTGATGTATATTTCATTTAATTAAAAAGTAATGAAAAGCTCTTGTTTGACAACAAAACTTGTAGCCTAAACAATCCTCTCCATTGTTAAAAAACAAAAAATTAATGACATTTCAATCAGGGAAAAGAAAAAAGGATGGCTGTGATTGACAATTGCAAAAGCTGCAAGAATGAAAAGCAGCAGGCCCTAGACGCGAAAGAAAGCAAAGCAAGCTAGCTAGCTAGCTTGTGCAATAATAACTGGACCTCAAGCAGAGACTGATACTCCTATTGCTTCCTTCAGTCAGTAATCACAGCCTATATATATATATATATATATATATATATATATATATATTTCACTGTAGAGTTTTCAGCTTTCTACTGAAATGACAATTTTCATGTCGGTTCATTTCATGCAACACTCTTTCTTCAATCAATGAAAACCACCAAAAACAAGTAATGAACAAAAGTCTCTCTTTCTGAGTTTGTCTGCAGGTACGGGAGGGTGTTCAAAACACACATCTTGGGTACCCCCATCATAGTATCCACGGATGCAGGAGTGAACAAAGTTATTTTACAAAACCATGGCAACGTTTTTATCCCTGCTTATCCTAAATCAATCAGGGAAATATTTGGAGAATATTCTATACTTCAAACCAATGGACCTCTGCAGAAAAAGGTCCATGCACTTATTGGTAGATTCTTGAGATCACCCCAATTCAAAGCTAGAATTACCAAACACATCGAGCACCAGGTCAAACTCACCTTGGCTTCTTGGAAAGACTTGCCCCTTCTCCTCGTCCAACAAGAAACCCAAAAGGTTCATCTCTTCGATCCTCCTCTTTCTAATCTTTTCCTAAAAATAAGAAATATTTTACACAGTCATGTACACATATGATATAAGGTGACTCTATTCCCATCTTAGGGTATTAATTTCATTCCAGCTATCAATTTCTATGTAAAATATTAAATCTTTTACTTTGTGGATGTTTCAGTTTACGTTCCAAGTTTTGGTTAACGTATTGATGAGTCTTGATCCGAGTGATGATTTGGATTTTCTTAAAAGAGAATTCGATGAATTCATCAAAGGATTGATATGTCTACCCATCAAATTCCCAGGAACAAGATTATACAAATCTTTAAAGGTAAAGAAAAAAAAATCCAGATTTTTTCACCATTACCTACCAATCAATAAATTTCAAAAAAAAAAAAAAAAGGTAGGTTTTAACTTGTTTTAGTCATGCAGGCTAAAGAGAGAATATTCAAGCTGGTAAAAAAGATTGTTGAGGGAAGAAAATCGAGCATGGAGAAATCAGAAGATTATCATGAACATCAAAATGCAATACCTAATGACGCAGTGGACGTGCTTTTACGTGACCATCTTGGTGAACAAAATGACAAGCAATCTCTATCGTTGGATTTCATCACTTCCCATATTATTGAGCTGATGGTCCCTGGAGAAGAAACCGTGCCCATGTCCGTGACTTTAGCTGTCAAATTCCTCAGTGACTGCCATGTCGCTCTAGAGCAATTAACGGTATTACCATCTTCTTCTACTATATATCAATCCCCACACGTTTTATTTTTTAATCTAACGGCTAGGATTATTTGGGGTTCACTGCTTTTTGGGTCCCATGTTGTCTGCTTGATAACGTACTGCGAAGTGGTTGACTTTTCTTTGAAAAGTCTTTTTCAAAGACACACACGTGAGTACTTTTGAAAGGACCCCACGTATTCGTGGACGTTTATGATACGTACGATTAATCGAATTGGACGGCTGTCGGGTGAGGACCACCTTATTAACTGTGTGTCTGGTAGGGTTGAGACCACTCTAGGTATCACATTATTATCATTTATTATATCAGTATTAGTACTATCAAATAAATAAATAAATAATACTAATGCTTTTAAGATGTGGTTGAGAAAAGTACTCCGGATGGATATTTTGAAATGAATTATCTTATTTATTTCAAATGATTTTCTTAAATATTCTTTCTGTACCAAGTATCAATCCCTTTTGATTTTTCAAACGAGTTAAAAAAAATATTAATCGTTATGACACATCGATTTTTTTATCCTTATTTTTTAAAAATATCCTTTCATTTTGTTAAATTTAAGTTCTATTTTTTTAAAAAAAATATTTTAGAAAAATATAATAATTATTTTGAGACATATATAAATAGAAAATTAGGCAATCTTTTTGAAACGGAGGAGTAATATAAATTACTTGATATTGTCGAATGCTATTCATTAATTGAGTGTCAGGAATTTATTGTTGCTCGGTCTGGAATTTAATTTTGAAGATAAATCTTCAAGAGTGTTTTTTTTTCTTTCAAATTTGTACTGGAAAATTTAAATTTAGACAATTACTTCAAAGTAGAACATGTAACATGGTGTCAATATTCATGGAGGTGGTTTTATTTTATACTCTCTCTGTATTAAAGAGATTGTCTTCATTTCTTTCTATATTTGTTTCAAAATAATTATCTTATCAAAATCTTAAATACTGTATTTTCTTAAAATATCTTTGTCTTTTTAAAAATTTGGGAAATCAAACTTAGCAAAATGGAAAGGTATTTTAAGAAAATAAAGAAAAAAAAGATATGTCATAATAATTAATATTTTTTTAAAAAAGTTAAATAAGACTAAGACTTTTGGGTTCATCATTAGCAGGTGTTTGATGGATTAGAAAACGAGATTAGAAAGAGCAGAAAATGTTGTACTAAGACAATGGAATGTTTTAAAAGAACTGCCTGAAATAAACGGACGTAAACTGGCTATCAGCTGATTGAAGTAGGATTTTTGGTTTCTCTTATCCTTGGCTTGCTTTTAGCCCCAAAAAACTAGTCGTGAAGAGAGACGCACCACGTCCATGGTGTTGTCATATTCAGTAGGCATTACTACCCCCTCTAATTCGTATAGAATGTTCTGTTTCATTCGACGATAAATACTGTTTTTTTTGTTGTGGTAGCTCCGCTATGTTGCTGTCTATTTAGGTTAATGCTAAAAGGATAAGCTGCCACATCTAAAAACGTAATTATTCTTAAAATGTGGAAACTGAATGCGTGAAAATATCTTTTGCATATTGGAGTTCCTTTTATGTTTTTTTTTTTTAGTGGTGACGTTTCCTTTCCTGTGATTGCGTAGGAGGAGAACATGAAATTGAAGAGGCAGAAGACTGATTCTGGTGATGATTACTGTTGGACTGATTACATGTCCTTGCAATTTACTCAGAATGTAAGTCACAATGTTGAAAGGGAAGATAGAATTTACGGTAGAACGTCTCATATATAGGATATGAATTTATGTTTATCACTCGTTTGCTTGTCTATGACCTTAGGTGATAAACGAAACTCTTAGAATAGCAAATATAATCAATGCAGTTTGGAGGAAAGCTCTCAAGGATATAGAAATCAAAGGTGAAGTGTCAAAAGTTGTTGATTTGTGTTTTTTTTTTTTTTTTTTTTGGGAACTCCTGACAGTGAAAAATATATTTCTAAAGATCAAAAAAAGATGAATGCAAGCAATATTTCCAAAACATATGGTTGTGATAAAACGAAATTCTTGTCTAATTTTGCAGGAATTTTGATTCCAGAAGGATGGTGTGTCCTCACATCTTTCAGTTCTGTTCATATGGATGAAGAAAACTATGAAAACCCTTACAAGTTTGATCCATGGAGATGGGAGGTAAAACTTGTAAAACCATGTTGATATAGCCTTAGAATAACCTCTTCTTCTGTCTTTGTCTAGCAAGATAAAAACTTTTTGTTCTTTGGCATTGATTGCTATTTGGACAAATCTCAGTTGCCCTAGGTAATAGGAAGTGACCCTTGCGGACACCAATAGTCCAAAAAAGAAAAAACTACTCTTGTGAACAATGTGCTTTTTTTAACTACAGAAAACAGGAGCTTCCGTTAACAACAATTGCTTTACCCCTTTTGGAGGTGGACAGAGGCTATGCCCTGGTCTAGATCTATCCAGGCTTGAAATTTCCATCTTCCTTCACCATCTTGTCACTACTTACAGGTAATTTTGCTCCCTAAATTATTCTATAAACTCAAAAGTTGGAGAGAGTATTACATCTGATGTACTGCTCCCTCTCACATCTACAAGCATGAATAATCTCTCGAGAAACTAATCATATAGATGGACTTAATGGTCCATGCATGGGTGGATAGTGTTATCTGATTTTTTTTTTTTTTTTAATTTGGCTATTCTATTTCTGTTTCTGCAGCTGGGTAGCTGAAAAGGATGAAATTATCTACTTTCCAACAGTGAAGTTGAAGAGAAAGCTGCCAATCACAGTCACCTCCATTGGCAACTCTTCATGACCAAATTATTAACTGCAACCACCATAGGTCGGAGGTCGGCCAATCTTGGACGTTATTTACAGATAATATCTCAACTTGTGGATAAATGTCGCCTGACAGATCCATGTGGGGGTGTGGGTATCTGTGGGGTGGGATTGCCATTGTATTTCTATATATACAACCATGAGAGGCCTAACCGAGTAAATTGGCAAGGGACTGTCCTGTCATGGCATTAGTTCTTGTGTCACTATCTATTTTATCACAGTAGATGGGGTCTTTGTAACCATCTGTCGGCTCTTCCAAAATTGATTGCAAGTGGGGATGATTTAATCCAACTCTCGTATACAAGTCCAATCTAGTAAATTTCTTGTCTGATTTGACAGCAACACTTGTTGCAGTTTCGAACAACTATCAGGGTCGATTTGCCTTGGTGCGATTTAGAGGACATGCTCACGTAGTCTTGGCAAAGGGAGCCCCCTCAATTATATGGAGCTGGTGGAGCCATCTAGCAAGTCTCAAAATTGAGGCTAACCATTTGGTACCTAAGAAATAATGTCACGGTAGGTTCGAGATACCATCAATGCAGGAAAGTTTTTTTTTTTTTTTTTTGGCAATGATTTCAATAATTCAATCCACATCTGTACGTATGTAAGAAGTACGGATACAGAAAAGATACGATAAAAATAGGATGCAACACATCATGTGTAGAAAGCACGAGAACGAAGAATGGTCCGAAGAAAATGGTTTAATTACTTGAAATATCAAGTGTATCCACGAGAAGGATGCCTCATGGAATTTCTGTTGCATGTCCCATACGCGTCTACTAATAAAGCTGAAAAGAACGTATGGACGGACATAGAGCATGATTGAAACCAGCCCAAAATGGAAAATTTTCTTCAACCCAGTTGACACATTCAGATAATAGACTATCAGAAAAACCATTATGCAATGACAGTAGGATTACAAGAATAGCAGATTTTGGATGCCCTGCTCGAAATCTCATCAACACCATCCTTGTAATTTACTGGCTGATTTCCACCTTTCCCCATTGCTTCAAACTGGTGTTTGTGCTTTTGCTCGGAAAGCTTTGCTTCAGCATTTAACTCTCAGATACAAAACTACTTGGCTTGAATGACTAGTTCTAGTGCGTTCCATGAACACGCAAAGCAACCCAACCCTGGGAGACATAACCAGGAAATACTACAGCAGATAAAGGGGAAAACATACATAGCCTGTTAGTTTAGTTTTACAATCAGGCATCACCTTTACGAGATCCGTGTTCACAAAGGAAAATCTCGCAGTCACAGGATTAGACACCGCAATTGAAACTGCAATTCAAAAACTCAAAAACAAACTTATGAGTAGCATACTAGCATCATGTAAATGGTTTAAAGGGGAGAAGCTCTGTTTAACTCTATAAACAGCCTAATTAAATCCACTCTCCCACTCCAAACTAAAGCATAGCAGATTAAAAGATGCAATTGTTTTTTTTTTTTTTTCAAAGATATTCGAGACTTTCTGAGGAGAGAGTGGACCACTAAAACCTGCAAATTAGCTCTATAAACCACCTCATTGAAGGCAAGTGGCTGTGTAAATAATAATAATAAAAAATCCTAGCATCATGCGAGGCTTTTGAAATTTGAAACAGAGAGAGAGAGATGCACACTCATGCCCGCTCATAGGTTTTACAACCATCACTGTGCCTTGGTGAAATTACATTAAGGTCATCAAATCCTCCAACATGATTAAAGGATTCCATTTTCCCTTTCTATTTCTCAGGAGGTGACTTTCTAAGTAATGGTACAAGTCTGGATCCAGGAACCAATCCAGAATAACATAATTGATCCAGAAAAGGTGGAAGAAGTGCTGAATGTGCTTTCCTAATCCGGCCAACCAAAGTACAACATTCCAGTTTACCAATCAACATTTCGAATGCGAATAGAAAATTGAGCCAAAAAAAAATTGTCGATTTTCTTATGAAGACTAAATGACATTATGATCACTGCTAATGAACACAATCAGCAGACAGGAAGGAAAAACATTAGAGGAACCGACATAATTGGGATTAGTATTCTACTGCTAACAAGCAAAAGCAGCAGTACCAAATAAATGTGTGGATCACGGAATGATTAAGCCAAGAATTTTTTGTTCTATTACTCAAGCTGTTGCAGCTCTGCTGATCTAAGCCCATGCTTTATCCCTTGCCACTGCAGCCATTAGGTTCTACCCTAGCAATTCTCTTCTTCATATTAGCCTCCTGCAACAGAGCTTTGCATTTCTTTGCCTCTGCCTGCTCATCTCCAAAAGCAAGCCCCCAGTAATGATATAGTCTTATCTCTAATGAGAAATAAAGCCATTGACCAACAGGATGTTTCAAGATTATCACACAGAAGAGAAAACTATAAGATTATAAGAAATGAGGGTTGGTGAATGTGCAGGGACGAACATATGAATATAATAGTAAAAGGTAGGTTAATAAAACAAACAGTTTGACCAACAAGCAACGAAAGATGAAAGACTAAAGACTAAAAGCCATTTGATAGTGCCCCCTTCTGTTTTGGCATAAAATCTGGAGAATTCACATTAACTTTGAAGGGACCCATAACGGAGCTCAATGAAGAAAGACAAGTGTTAACAGTGTTCTCTTAAAGAGTGAGAATCAACCATGATGATCAGTGAGTTCAGTAGACTTGAATGAAAGTAGCACTTTCATATGACAAATGAAGTTGTTACGGAAACTTGCTCACAAATAATGTTATTTTACAACTCATAACTATGCCATTAAAGAATCAATACAGCATTATATTCTTTCATTCATCTTTATCCATGGAACTTATGAAGGAGATTAAATTACGAGAAGCTAAGAGCTCACTCACATTGGTCAAACAAAGAACCATGTGAGGAGTCATCAAATTCAATCATCCCCACATTAATTCAGGATAGGCAGTGTATGTTTCGATAGTTAATAAATCATCATTGCATGCCACCCACTGATCCTTGAAAAGGTTGAACAATTTCCACATCATTTTTAACACACAAAAAATAGTAACAAAAATTACATGAATATAAGAACAAAGGCTGCAAGCACCAAGTTATTTTCATAAAAGTACATGCAAATAGTACAGGAAACAATTCTACTAGTGAGAAGCTTTTCCCAGAGTTTACGTGAAAACTTCACAGAAAGCATAAAAATCAAAATCAAATTTATGGGAGCCAGAACCAAGGAAAGGCTCAAAACAAAGTGAGGGCAGAGTGAAAAAATTAATTGCTGCTACTTGTACCCTATTCTTGTCAGCGCATTCCATAGATCAATTTCTAAGCCATCGGAGATTGGTGACAGACAGAACCTATCAATCCTTTGGACACCTAGAACGCCACCAAAGGAATTGCCCATTGATGAGACTGTCATTCAAAAAGCAGTTCCAAAAATGAACTTCCTACAGCATTATCTCAATAGGCTTAAACATCCCCTCAACAGCTGCATGTTAATGTAATTTAGCTCAAAAGAATAGCATACTGCATGATTGCTTCCGGCTCCTAAACAAGGTTACATGCACTTCTCTGTAACACAGAAATCTAGCTTCTTCATCAAATTACTCCACACAAACTAATTAATTCAAATTCCAGTTAAGCTTTGATTGCAAATAGAGCACAACGCCATCAAATGCATCATTTCCCTTTACCGTATATCCTCCTATCAACTTCTTTCACACTAAAGATTGAGCACATTCTTAATTTTTCCATCAACTCACACAAGAACGAGATATTTTTACCAATCATAAGCTGTTTCATTTTGTTTTTGCCCCTAAAGAAATACAATTTTAAAGTCTAAACAACAACTATCCTACAAAAATAAATGAAAAGACCACCAAATTCGTTGGAAAACAAAAAAGTTACTATCTAAAGCAAGCAAAGAACTTTCTATAAGATTAATGAAACACCAACCAATATAAACACCCTACACTGCCTCCTGCGCTTCTTCTCTTTCCTTCTCTTCGGATTTAATAGGTTCTCCTGGTACATACTGAACCCAGGCATATGGACCTGCATTATTCTCAATTCAATTAGCATTCTATTTTCTATCAAAGACGCCAATCCATACGCGCAAACACACAAAAATATAAAAACTTTAGACCTAAATCCCTTCTAAAACCCTAGTGCCACAAAACCCCACATCAAAGTTTCAGTCCTATTAATTCAAATTCCAATTCGAAAACACACACACAAACATACACACACACGAAGCTACAAAAATTTCCAAAACCCAGAATCGATAAAGAACAAAACTTTGATTGATTACCAGGAGGTTTCGAGCTGGCTCTTTTTATCCCCGAGGCTAATAGACCGGTCTTCGATTTGGCAACCGGGTGTCGGTTAATCGATCAGAAGGGTTTGATTTTGCTAAGAAGCAGACATGCCTAATCATTGGAGTCCACGAAGACTAGCCTCCATCAGAGCCTAAACTCTTGTTTTGGGCAAAAAAGGGTGTGTTTGAGGAAGTTGTGGTCTGGGTTTGACAAGGATCAAATTGCATTTGTTAAAGCTCGAGGAAATGAAGGTTTTTGTGGTGAATTGGTGACTAATGACTCGTGAGTGAGCTAAGTGTAGAGAGACATATGGTGGTGACGGATACGGACTGAGAGAGAGGGGTAAACAAAGCCAACGCAGAAGGGGGAATGCTACAGTGACTTCAACTATCATTACTATTTATTTCTTTTCTATGATTATGGAAAAGAACGTAAAATGTTTCTATTTACATAAACAGGTTAAAAAGAAAATAAACCGAACCGAAGTCATGCTTACTGTTTGAAACAAAAAACAAAGAGAAAACATAACATGACCAAAAGGATGCCTATGGCAGGTCTTGGTCTTTTCGGTAGACTTGGATTCTTATCCTACCCTACGTATTAACCTATAATCGGATTTGGTGAAATATGCTTCGCTTCTTTCATTTTTTCAATTTAAATTTTGGAGTTGATGTCCAATTTTTTTTAAAATACAATACGTTGATATGGTCGACATATCTTTAAAATAGGAGAAAAATCTTCTAATTTTTTTTTATCTAATAAAACCTATAAATTTATTTTTAATCTCTCAAATCTATTTATTTTTAATCAAGATACTCAATAGTTAACTTTTAATCGAACACCGATTAACTATCAAATATTTTGATAAAAAAATTATTTTAGATTTAAAAAATTTAAAAATAAATTAATAAGTTTTCTTTATATAGAAGTTTTTTTAGATCAATTTTCGATAACTAACCTAAATAAAACAATTATATTCCAAAATATGTATTTCGATTGTAGATGCTCATATTTTATTTAATTAATACACCAAGATGTGTTATACATACATCGTGTAATTTAATTTAATTGCTTGACAAAAAATATTAAGTTTCAATTAATTAAAAACTAGTGCTACTCGTTATGTTTTTTTCTTATCGGTATATTAGAATTTAAAAGATCATAAATGTTCATCATCATATATATACTTTTTAATTTTTCATTTGTATGTTATTCCTCGGATTAAATTACAAGAGGATAATAAAAGTCTCATTTCATCAATATTAATTAATTGAATTGTATCAACTACTATAACTATTAGATAGTAAAATTAATTTCTTAGTTGATGAAATAAATGACCGATAGAAAGAAATAAAAACTTACATATAAGGAATTTTTTTATTATAATAAGAAAATGGATTTAGCCTCGTATTTGGATCATGTACTCTTTGAATTTTTTTTTTTTTTTTTGAGACCTTCTACTCGGCTTAATTAAAATCCTTTACTTTTTTAGATCTTTTGCTTTAGGCCCTCAGTTATAACACTACCAATCAATGATTAATATGTGATATTGTAAAATAAAAAATTCAGACCACATATTGATTGTGCTATAATAAAAAGTCCGAAGCAAAAAAATCTTGAAGGGTAGAAAGTCTCAATCAAGTAAAAAAAAAAATTAAAAGGCCTTGATTAATTAAAAAAAAAATCAAAGAGTAAAAGGTCCAAATGTGAAAATAACTCATAAGAAAATAATGTTTGAAGAT